TATTTCGAAGTACCCCTAAGTTTAGGGCTTAAGGGGTTTTGGGATTGAGGAGCGGGCCAAGACAGGTGAGCCACTGCAGACGGATGCCGGGAAGATAGGACTTGTGGCTTGGTTTTACGGTTTGCTGTATTGTTCAGGCTTTCGAATAGTTTGAGCGGGCCTAGTCTTTTAAAACTGTCGTTCTATGCAGTAGCTCCTGTGAGTATGCATCAAGCAGTGTGATAATCCAGAGCCCAGGAGTGCGCTTCATCACGGAACGCACCATCGACAGGCTCTGTGGGCCCTCAGTTTATGTAGCATGAAGGCCAAGTCCCACAGACCTCCGATGCATAAATCCTCTCGCCTTGTAGACAAGTATGTATATGGATCTCGAATGATATTACGGCCCTTTCTGGGCTTTGTTAATCAGACCTGAAATCCTAAGCCCAAAACCCTGAACCCTCAAACCCTAAGCCCTAAAACCTAAAAGAAGCAATGCAAGAAACAGAGGGATTCCGCTTGTCGTCGCCAGAAGTTGCAAGGACGTCCATCACTTCCTGGCCACAAAGTATCCCTCTGCTGGGTCCTTCTTAAGAAACTGAAACTACCATCATAGGTATCACAAGGAATCTACCATATCTATATATATATATATGTTTCTTTATGCATGTAGGTAGATAAGTTTTAAATTTGTACATATATCTATATATATATATAGAGAGAGAGAGAGTGCCTATATGGAACCATACTATTTGCTATGATTTTCATACTGAGTCAGAGAAGCCAAGTTCAAAGCGGGTCAACCAGATATTTATACATGGACTTAACCAAGAAAACGATGTTGGAGCCCAATATAGCGTACCTAGAAGCACTCCGCACTTCTGGCAATGATATTGCTAATGCTTCTGACTTCTATATACACGGCTGCTTCAGCCTCATCCTACAAGGCAAGCGAATGCGGCTTCTTCCGATTAGGAATTTTAGGGTATCGGGTATAGGGCTTAGTAAGTCCTCGGCGTGGGTCGCATCGGCGCGCTCCAGTAGGCGCACGGCAGTGGGATGAAGCCTTCCTGCAGATACCCACCACATCCCAGGAGTCATGCAGATGGAGACATCATGTTCGTCTTGACCGCTGCCCATAAAACTATACAGTTCGGAACATCTAGTGCAAAGGACTGCAAGTAACTGGGGCATGAACGGACGCCTGTGCTGCTGCTGCTGCTGCTGCTGCTGCTGCTGCTGCTCCTACTGCTACGACTGCTTCTGCTGCCACTGCGACTGGGGCTGCGACCGCTGCTGCTTCCTACTTCCACAGCGGCTGCTATCGTACTACCAACAAAGGCTCCCAGTCTTGATCTCATAGCTCAGCATTCAGACCGGAGACCGAAATCAGCGGATTGGGCGAGGAAGCCACGAAGTGCGCGAAAGCCGAGGAGGTGTGGGTTTGGGCTTGTCCGCCAATAACCCTCTATAGAACTCTACATCTTGCAAGACCGCTAGCCCACGCAAGCTGCTTTGTGTTCTTGAACCATCAACGCAACATAGGAAACCCGCAAGAACATCCTGACACCGATGCCTTCAGCATGCAAACACACTGTAAGCCGACCTCGAAGCCCCCAAACCAACATCCCCAAAACCTACTCTAGGGGCCTTAATAATTCGAATAGGATTTTGGGGCCCAGTATACGATAAATATAATAATAAGGAATCTCTAAATTAGTATAGGTAATGATTTACAGGCCTCTATATTAGAACTCCCCTATTCCCCCCCATTTATTAAACACCCCCCTGATAATAAAAACACATTGGGGCCAATCCTACCGAAATCATCCTTGCCCTTTAGAGCCTAATTTGCATTAGGGGGGTCCGAAGCCAGAGCAAGAGCAAAGGCAAGAGCAAAAGCTGGAGTAAGAGCAAGAGTAAGAGCAAAAGCAGGAAGAAGAGCAGGAGCAACAGCAAGAGCAAGAGCAGGCGCAGGAGCGAGAGCAAGGGACGCAGCAGGAGCAGGAGCAAGCAGGAGCAAGAGCAAGAGCCCTTAAAAATGACAGTAGTGATAAAAATACACCCTAATAATAAAACACACTTTCCGAGTTTCTATTAGGGGGGAGGGGGGTCCCGCCCGTTTAATATTAGCGGGAAGTTGTACACAATCCTTCTGGTCCCTAAAGCTTAATGCTTAGACTCCAGACCTGAACCCTACTCCGGTACCTCTAGACTCAAGACCCCTCACCTTAAACTCTAAACATCCCAAAGACATGAACTCTGGACATCCCTAAACCCCTGAACTCGAAACCCCAAAACCGGCGTTGCTTTCGTCAGAGAGGCCCCGGAGGCGCGGGAACTTCGAGAGGAGCTTCGGGGCTTCCTCGCTTCCGAGCCTTGGAGTGTTCCTTTAAGAAAGCTATAAGGGTTCGGGTTTAGGGATTAAGGTCCAGGGGTTTAGGGATTCAGGGGATTACTATAAGGGTTATAGGGTTTAGGGATTAAGGTCCAGGGGTTTAGGGACTCAGGGGATTACTATAAGGGTTATAGGGTTTAGGGATTAAGGTCCAGGGGTTTAGGGATTCAGGGGATTACTATAAGGGTTATAGGGTTTAGGGATTAAGGTCCAGGGGTTTAGGGACTCAGGGGATTACTATAAGGGTTATAGGGTTTAGGGATTAAGGTCCAGGGGTTTAGGGGTTCGAGGGAATACTACAAGGGTTTGGGCATTTTGGGCTTGGGGCTTAGGACTACCGTAATGCTTTCGGGTTTATTGGTGAAAAGCAATCCTTTGTGTGTTTGTTAACCTTTGGTTGAGGGGTTTTAGCGGGCTGGAAGATCTTTGGTTGGGGTGGTTGAGGCTTTTAGGATGAGTTTAGTAAGAACCTGGGGAGAAGGCTGAGGATCACTACTTAATGAGTGGAGTTTGGTAGGGCTTCGCGGATCTGGCCGTGTGAATCCATAATCCTACACCTTCAGACCTAACCCGAAACCTCTGAAGGTTTATGGGTTAGGGGTTTTGGGTTGAGGGGTTTAGGGTTAGGGGTTTAGGGTTAAACCTCGAACCCTGGGCCATCGGAACCTCATCGGCGCACTCTGGGGATTCAGCTCGACTTGGTCTGACTTTGTGGATTCAACTCTGAGCACTCTTTGAAGGTTTAAGGTTTAGGGTAACCGGGCCGGCTGCATGGCCTCAAGAGTTCAAGCATAGGCTTCAGCCGCAATCGCCGGCAGTTCCACACTCAACCTTCGGCCTAAACCCTATCGCTCTCGCCGTCGTTTAGGGTTCAGGGTTCAGGGTTCTCTCTCTGTCTCCCTCTCTCCATCCCGCAGTGCTACCGGGTTTTAGGTTTAGGGTAAAGCAAGCTCTCGAATCGCGAAGCCTGAAAGAAGACCTAAACCCTGATCCCTAAACCCTACATAGAAGTTTCCGAAAATTAGGGGTACCTCATATTGGAGTCCTTATCATAAGGATCCCATATGTCTAGGGTACTCTATTACTGTCCTCAATTTTCGGTAACTCCTACATACCAGTAGGTTGAAGTGGACTTCCAGTTAAATCCCAGCCCTGAACTGCAGCAGAGGAGCGAGCTCGAGGTATCCAAGAGCGGGCTTCGGGCATTCAGGCTGTTGAGTAGGCCCTTCCTGGTAGGATTTAGGGCTTAGGGAGGCTCCAGATCAGGCGTAAGGGTTTAAGCTATTTAGGTGTCCTAACCCTTATGCCGACCCTAAACCCTAAACCCCTAAACCCTAAACCCTAAACCATGCCGTATAAACCCAAACTCCAGAACCAGGCTCGTAGGCTTATGAGCTTTGCGATTTGAGATTCCCAGTTTCGATGAGAGGCACTTGTTCAACTGCTCCCTTTGTCCGTAGGCCGCGGAACGATATGGACTCTGGCAGGCCAAGTAAGCATGCCGCTAAAAAATGTCCGAAACAGCATGACGTCCAAAGTTGCAGAAGACACGATTGCCGACCTCTTTGGTTCAGGGCTTCTATAGGGTTTGACGGATCATGGCTCAGGTACTGCCACAATACACCCTCAGCGTAAGAGACACTGCACAAGTGGCAGCAGCTTGCGTTGCGGCGCCATTGGTGGTGTCGACAGCACGGTACTGCGATGCTTCTTGCTTTTACTGCTGGTGCCGTCATGATGCTCTTGGTGATTGCTGGTGTGTTCCGCTTTTCTGCAGCCAACCTTCTTACCAGGACTATTTTGGTGCGGCTGTGGGACAGAAGCCGAGTTGGGTTGCGATGCCCTTCAGCGTCCGCGACTTGCCGCAAAGCAGCCTGGCGTGAAGCTTTGAGCTTCTCTTACGACTCGTGGCATGCACTTCAGTTCCAGGCGTGAGCGCAGTCTCAGTATACATGTCTATATGCATTCATGCTGTATCATGTGCTCGTTTGTGTTCGAAGTTTGAGGGTGTGGGATTGAGCTAGTGCGGTGTTGCGCCTACGGCTTGTTTGGGGCCTGCAAGGTTGATTTCATCGTGGAGATTGTCGTCGGGATACTTTCCTGCGGAACCGTTGCCCGATAGTCGCATACCACACTGTAGAACCTGCTTATGCTAATTGGCTTCTCTAGTTCGTGAGAGACCGCATCGATGAAGTAGCGTACCTCTCCTATCAGAGTCGTGCCGAGCTCCTAAAAAAGCTGTTAAACGACCCGTCATCAGGAAACGTCAACTGCATGAGCCGACGGCTGCAAACAACAAGACCGATCTCTAGAGGTCTGAGCCAGAAATATACGTAACGTGTCCTGCAGTCCTTATAGATCCTAGTAGTATATCAGCAGTGTAGCACATGCCAATCTCCAAGCACGAAACCAACCTTTCCATGCAGACCAATGTTTTCCTTCGCCCATGTACCAGACGTTGCCGGCTTCTAGCGGGTGCCCATGCATAGCAAAACAGTAATAATATGAATTACTCTCGTAATAGTCATAAAAATCGTGAAAATGTTCATAGCTAACCAATAACAAATCGCAACTCCATGAAGCATGGCATTTGCAACAAGAGCAGGGAGCTCTGATGAGCGCATCAAGTCGAAACGGGTTCTGCAGCATGCCAGACAAGGCCACAAGACGACTTCTCCTTGGCCTTCGGCAAGCGGACGTAAGCACCAAATTCATTCACAAGGGCACGTGCTGCCTGGGCTCTTGCACAGAGCTTCAACCTATACCTTAGAAGCTGCCCCCACCCTGTAATAGTGACCATAAGGATTATATAGGATTATATTAGGGCCCTCTTATATTCCCATTATACCACTATTACAGGGTGGGGGCAGCTTCTAACCTATACCTAAGGAAAGCCGATTGTTCACTCACAACCCACTGTGATCATCAGCGTGAAATTCCGGAATAACATTTAACAATCAGAATAGGGTTGGGGGGTATATCATACGACTATAATAACAATAACAATAAGGATCCCACCCCCACAACAAATAGTATAGGCGTTTCTTTAAGGCCCCTATAATCATAATAAGAAGAAGAAGGATATAATAATAATAATAATAACACTAACAATAACAATAACAAGAATAATAATAATAATAATAATAATCATCATCATCATCATCATAATAATAATAATACTATTAATAATAAATAATACTACTAATAATAATAATAACAATAATCATAATCATAATAATAATAATCATAATAATAATAATAATAGTAATAGTAATAAGAGCCCAGCTGCAGCCTGAGCCTCGACAGTGTGATCCTCGTGCGAGGAATTCGCCGAAATGCCGCCTTTCCTATACTGAGCTTAGAACCCTATCGAAAATTAGAATTTTAGCGGTTTCTTTAGGGATTATAATAACCGAAAATTAAAAAGTTATTTCTAAGTACCCCTAAGTTTCGTCGAGCTGAATCGCCCGGGCTTGTAGCTGAGCTTGTCGGCCCCGTACCGCATGAAACGAAGAACCCCTTTGTCGGCATGCCAGTATCTCAGGGTGCGCTCGACGTCATCTTTGATCTGCCCGGTTCTGGTGTAGAGGCGTGGGTCGTGTGTCACTCGGAAACCGAACCAGGCGCCATAAACCAGGCCTAGCCTCTGCGAGTAGTCCTGAAAAACACCTGTCTTTGCGGCCCTCAAGCGAAGATCATCACCCTGTTTCCTCAAGAAGTAATGATTTCTGGAGGGATTCACACCCCACAGATGCAGCCCACGCTTCTGCATCTCGCGCCCAGCACGCTTTACCAACTGGGACAGCTCCGGGTCCTTGTCGGAAACAGAACATCTCTTGGACTTCTTGGACGGCAGTGCCAGCAGTCTGGGCGGCATTTTCGAACGTTCGTCACTGTCGCCGGCGGCGGCTTCACGGCATCTCCTTCGCTTCCTCGTTGACAAACCCATGGCGGTAAGAACAGCATCCATGCGCTGCACAGGCAGAGTCTTGAAGACGTCGAAAGTTGCGACCTTCGCTTTACGGAGAATTTCTTCGACATCCAGAGTTTGCTTTTCAATTTCTGGGCAAACTCCACGCAGGAAACACATGAGGTCTGATTCCTCTACGGTGGTCAAACCAGTTCCCCACAATGGGCTGATACAGTCTTCCTTCTTCAGGGATCGTGTGCAACACTCGATAATACCTGCCGCTTTCTGCTCAGCGACAACGCTGTCGTCCGGAATTTCCACGATCAGCCTCTCGATGTTGTCGTCCATGACCACAATGTGACTGCCCAGTGGGGAGGCCTCCTCCATGAAACGGACCTAAGAGTAAAACAATCTTGAAGGTTCCCGGGTATTCAGAGAAAGGGTATGAGGAAGATGTCTACGCTTCTGTACTCTTCTTTGGTCGTATATGAGTCCCGGAGTCCCAAACCCCCCAACCCCAAAGCAGTACTTCGACTACAACCCCAATGAGCTCGTTTGAAAAACAGTCGATTGCACTCCCACCCAAGCCTGAAGATGTGCGCCTCGAACGCCGACCACAAGTCGGCCTTCCCACTTCGTGCCAGCGAGTGCAGCAGAATAAGCGCCAGAGATCCAAGCATCATCTGTGTGGGACACGAAGATCAGACAATGCTTGTAAGCTTCCGGGCCGAGGGCCAACTCCAAAGCAGCAAGGGTTAACTCACGCAGGCCCTTGTCCGCGCTACGAAGCTTCTTTTCCGTGTTCTCCCACGGCTGGAGTGCCTTCTCAGCCAGCGTCTTGGCCGTCTTGACGTGCAATCCCTTCACACCTGCCTGTTTTAGGTCTTCTCGAAACGCATGCAAGGGCTTCTTGGCCAACTTTCTCAAGTCCTGGGCTCTGGATAAGAAGCTTGTTTTGAGGTACTACGCCAGCAGCACACAAATACCATAATCGTGCTTCCAGCGTAAGAAAACCTTATTGCTGAGCCAACCCTACATCCCAATTGTACGTCCGAGCTCGGGGCGGTGCTCAACTATTTTGCATCCGTGAATTGCTCAGGGTCGGCCCGAGTTGGTCTTCATACTCGGGGGTTCAGGATTTAAGGGGTTAAGGGTTTGGGGTTTACTTTCCCCCTGCTAGTGGTCAGTTTTGCTTCAGTAGGGACAAGAGGCCACAAAGGCCTCAGGCTTGCTTGGCTGCGGAGGGCTTCGCGAAAGAGGGAGGGAGGGCTTAGCAAAGGGTTCGGGACAGCCGCCTGTGCACTTGGGAGTTTCCGAATATTAGGGGTTCCTTATTTTGGGGTCCTTATAATAAGGATCCTACTGTTTCGGATATTATATTAGGGTCCCCTATGTTCGGAAACTCCCACTTGGGATGGGAGGCTGCTGTACGACTCGGACAACGGTTGGTGTACTCCGGCCAGTCATACTGTTGTGGTTCTACTGTACCACCACTGTACAGCTGCTGTGCTATTGCTGTCCTGCTACTCCATCACTACTACGGTATTGCTCTGATCGCTGTACTGCTGTAGCACCAGCAGCAGAACTACTACTACTACTACTACTACTACTACTACTACTACTACTACTACTACTACTACTACTACTACTACTACTACTACTACTACTACTACTACTACTGCTACTGCTACTGCTACTGCTACTGCTACTGCTACTGCTACTGCTACTGCTACTGCTACTGCTACTGCTACTGCTACTGCTACTACTACTACTACTACTACTACTACTACTACTACTACTCCTACTCCTGCTCCTGCTGCTGCTGCTGCTGCTGCGAGTGCCACTACTACCACACTACCACGACCACTACCACTTCCACGACGACGACCTGCGACATATAACACCACCTCCCGTCTGACACTGAGGAGCCTATCTCCTTCTTCAGCCAAGCATGCATTACCCCAAAACCCCCTCTTAAGAGCCCAACCCCTTGTAACCGACCGCCGCAGTCTAACCCACCACACCCCAAGAGCCTATGCCCCAATCTTTAGAATCGGGAGAACGGGCAGCCGGGTGGGGCCGGGTGGTCGTATTCATGACGCAGAAAATGCTTTGTCTGAGTGGGCCACAAACACAGCGCAACAGTGAAGCCTTAAGCACTCAATAACGATATCAACACAATCCAAACAAAATCCTAAGTTTCGTGCCAAAATCTGTATTAATGTGCAAAACTTGTCAAGATTCGGACCTTACTCAATATTATGCTCCTCAACAGAAGATCGACCCAGGATCCGGGAAACCCAGATTGGCAGCTTTCAGCTTCGTCTCGAGGAGGCTAGCCTCCCCCTTGCTGAAGACGCCTGGGCTGTTGTCCCCCCTTCTTACTGTTATTGCTATTATTACTATTATTATTATTACTATTACTACTATTATTAGTATTATTACCCCCTGGGTCTTGAAAGCAACAAGGGAAAAGAGTTGTAGGGACTACGATTGGGGACTAGCATAGAGTTTAAGTTACCATAATGCGGATCGCAAAAAAGAAAACATGGTGCCTACAGCATTTAAGCGAGATCCAAAAAGAACAAAGAGCATCTTTATTGCCAGGTCACTACCCCGATATGGTAACTTAGTGAGCTGATAAATACAGGGAACTCCAGAAAGTTGGAATATGGTTTCAGGGTAGGATACCCTATAATTACCATAAAGGGCTTAGGATAATCATATTCCAACTTTCTGGCTTTTACCTTAAGAGCAGGGGTGCTGTGGAGGAACCGATGAAGCTCGCTTTGCTGGCATCGACGGCCTGGAAGTTCCAGACTATCGCGTGCCCCGAGCTAAACCGACAATACTGCACTACGAGATATTGCAAACTACTGCCCTGTTGGTACTGTCTTCGTTCGCACTTGTAAGATTAATGTGCATCATTATATATATATATACACATATATATATATATATATATGTATGTGTGTATGTATATATATATATATATATATATATATATATATATATTCAGCTAAACATGTAAGTATATGTACATCAGTTGTGCATGTATATGATACATAAACTGATACATACGTACAAACAGAGATATTCTAAGAGCGACAGTGAGGGAGGGAGAGAGAGAGAGAGAGAGAGTGAGATCAACAAGTAAACCCCAAGCATAAAGGGTATGGCAACAAGTGCGAGACATCAAACTGCAAACCCCACACATCAGCGGTATGAAAGCATCCACCTGGGCGCCCGTAAGTCCGGACACAAATCAGCCATTTATCATCCGGCCGCCCTGGCTGCTCATCCAAAGCCTGCCACTTTTTTAGTACTCTTGTCAAAGTCTAGGAGTCTAGGAATGAGTTTGAGGGTTTAAGGTGCCACGATTACGGTTTTACAGCTTTACAGCTCCAATTCCAGTTTGACCAATCTTCTCTCTGCAGCCTTGAGGGCTCTTGACCGGTAGGCTGGACAACCTATAGTCTCCGTTATAGTTCGTTTTGGGGCTACCTTATAGGAGCCTAGATCTACAATACAATGGAGACTATAGGCGTAGACTGAGTAAACGGCACCTCTGATTTACCTTGGTCGCACTGATGGAAACTACGGCTTCCTGTTGCCAACTGTTGTTCACGCGCCCGATGCCTGTCGCACGCGGCCACGAGCCGTCTCAAGAAGGGCTTGTATCCAGGGATGTCGAAAGACAGGATCCCCATGACACGGTCCAGGAGCCAGCCCTTCGGCGTAGGGATCCATTGGGTTTGCCAGGCCGTCTCTGATCACCTGGAGTTTAGGCTTCGTGCTTAGGGGTTTGGGGTTGAGGGTGTGCAGTACAATTCACGGCTTAGGATTTGGGGGTCGGCGGTTTAGGGGCAAGTGAGGAGAGGAGGGTCTGCATGTATAGGCCCTTCATCGCCAACCTCTAGGAGTGGTCCTTACCCAGCTCACTGCTGCTCCCTGAAACCCTAACTTCAGAACCCTAGACCCCAATTTGGGGTTGCCCTGGTAAGCTACTGAAAGGCCTGCCCCACACCCTCGAACCATAAAATCAAGACTCTCTAGAACCTATACGCCCCGTGAGTTAGAGTGTAAGTCCAAAATGTACTCAACCCGTGTTACACCTGGACTATGCATATGCCAGGAACTGGGGCGCCGACTGTGCTGGTGGACTCAATCTCTTCAACCCTAAGCCCTAAAGCCAGGAGCGGTCAAGATATCCTTATTTAGGCCGCCGGTATTGATTCCAGAAGTTGTGGGTGTTGTTGTGGGGTCGTAGCTACATCTCCGACCCTACAATCTACAAGTCTGTGGGATCCTGCAGAGAGGCCGGCCCTAAGATGATATAGGGGCCTTACTAATTAGAATAGGGTTTGGGGGCCGACTAATTATACTATAATGATAATAAGGAACCCCCAAAATAGTATTGGTAATTCAAGCATTTAAGCCCCCGATGTTAGGGTTTCGGAAGCCTGCACCTTGGCTGCTTTCTGAGGATCTCCATCGCAAACCTTCAATGCAGAGGCTGCCAAACGGACATCACAACCCAGCTCCAGAGCCAGCGACGTGGCGGCAGAGGCCATGGGATCTTTCGCAGAGCTCATTCTCAGTGTGACTGTGAGGGGAACTGGGCCCGGTATGGGGTTTAGGGGCTACCAGCACCTCCACCTGGCTTGATCCACTCCGTGACCCGATCAACGTGACCCAAGCTGGCAGGCAGTGTGTGGCTGCCAAGGCTAAGGTAGCAAATCGTGGATTTGAAAGGTGTGTTCCTTCATAAAGGCACACAAAGTTTGCACCGGTGACGCTACTGGTGCGACAGGATATAAGCTGTCGAACGAAAGGAAAGCTTGCAAAACTGGCAACGCCAAAAATGCCATGCAGAGTAACGAACACGAAGACAATATGAGGATTACTACTGAGCAGTCGTTCACATCACTACAGTAAAAACGGGTGGTGTCACACTTCGATATAGCCTGAACCCTCCGTACAACGGAAAACCCGAATCCCTACAGCTCCTATACAACCCTTCAAAGACGACCTCGAGGAACCCTTAAAGGAACCTGAAAGGAATCCTCAGAGCAACCCCGAAAAAGGGTTCCACACGAGTCCCTCTTCCCAGAAACTCCAAAACCCCTTCATTAAGGAATATACCTTAAAATAGAATAGGAACCCTAACAGGGTTTCAGGAATATTCCCTAATTAAGGGGCTTTGGAGTCTCTGGGTTCCTTTCCACACGCGCCTCCGCGTCCGCGGCATCCGTCAAGGCAACCGCCGCCAGAACATCCGACTCACACATCTCCTCCGCAGGGTAGGGTTTAGGGTTTAGGGTTTAGGGTTTAAGTGGGGTCTTGTACTTTTTTTGGCCGGTGATGATTTGTTTTCATTTTTTGTGGTCTTTTACAGGGCTCAAAATGGGTTTATGGAGGTAAGTAAGGATTGGATAAAATTTTCCGTATGTTTCTCTTATTGTGCTGTGGATCTTTATAACATTTCATGGGGTTTCCGCATCCACAAGTGTAACACTGTTGCACTGAATGGTTTAACGTGCACCTCTCAAGAAACCATCGATCACAACCCCACGCACCCAAACCTGAACACCAAACTCATTCTGCGAGTGCGCTGGCATCCTGAATAGGTCTCAACTCATCTTTTAAGTTCAGTAGTCAGTAGCACAGAGTTGTGAAAATCTGCTGCCTGCTAACTCTGGAAATGCTATTTTTCCTAAAGATGCGTTTCAGATCCGTTTGGGGATCCGTTTTGAATCCGTTTTGCATCCGTTTTCGATCCGTTTTGGGATGCGTTTGGGATCCAATCCAGCCGGCCTCAGCCCTGCCGGCCCGGCAAACGGATCCAAAACAGATCCCCCAACGGATCCAAAACAGATCCCCCAACGGATCCCTAGACGGGTCCTGCGGCGGATCTCCGAACCCACGTTTCCATCGAGAGGGATGCGTTTTCGATCCGTTTTGGATTCGTTTCGGATCCTTTTGGAGCTCCGTTTACAAAGCCGTTTTGGGGTCCTGCCGGGGCTGGAGCCAAAACGGATGCCCAAACAGATCCCCAAACGGATCCAAAACGAATCAAAAACGCATTCCCGCATGCATGCACAACGGGTTATTAGGCTTCTGCACAACAACCCAGTGTTAGCAGAACCAGATTTTCACAAGCATAGAGCATTTAAGCCTAGCGCTGTGCTGCCCAAGACCAACCACCTGGCCAATACACATAGCGGCCTTGGAAATTAGATTAAGCATGTTCTGAGGAGGGGCATACAAGCTATGGAATTGAATTCCTCATTTTCAGGCTCCTGTCTTAAGCCCAAAACCTAAACCCTACAATGGCCCTACAACAATATCCCGTGAATACTGCTAGCTGGTTATGGTCCTTTCTTGTGCGCAACTACAAGCCCTTGCCACGATACCTCCAATGCACGTGAGATCACCGAAAGCGTTGAGGCACCAAAGCCAAAACTCTGCAGTACCCTACTAAGGCCCTCCTACAGGGGCCTGAATAAGCAAATAAGGAATTTGGAGTAAATTGTAGCATAATTATCAGAAGCTCAGCCTCGATATTGCTGTAACGACCGACACGCCCCAAAGCAATGTACAACCGTCTGACGAAAAAGCACTGAAGCCTCACACAACCCTGGGGCAGCTGGAGCAGCTACTAACCTAGCCCACATAAAGCTCAACTACACAGCTCCGAAAGCAAACGCAATCAAACAACAAAGCAGTAAGCATACGCCTTAGGCCTAAGCACACAATGAGGGAAGCAAACGAGAGGTACAAGCGGACTATAGCCCGATAAAGCTGTCAACACCCCGAACCCACACAATTATCATAGCTACTCTCATGATACCCCCTTTTCCACAGGCTTGATTAGTGCTCGCCCGGCAGAAGCCTCATGATACCCCCTAAACCCTGAAGCCTAAGCCTGTAATGCTACATCTATAAACATTCTGTCATTCTTGTTCCCAGGACTGCCTGCAGCTGCGGAAACTCTCGCAGAAGCTTCTTCAGCCCATCGTCGCCCAATGGCCTGGTTGGGGGCTTCCAGTCCAGCGTACGCATGATGGCGTTGTTTAGGGGTTGGAGGGTTTGTGGTTTAGGGTTTAGGGGTTTTGGGGTTGGGGGTTCGCGGTTCAGGGTTTAGGGGTTTTGCGGTTAGGGTACCATCTGGCAGGGATTTTAAATGATTTTAATACAGAGTTAGGGTCGCGCGGCTTACAGCGAGAAGTCCCAGAATAACTTGAAGATCAGTGCACCATGTTTCTATGTTCTTGTCGGCTCGGAGACGCCGAAGGAAACCGCCATAAGGGTACTAATAGTAGGGGACCTCGTTCTATGCTGAGAGAGGTCTCTGCAATAGCTAAAGCCCTTTTCCTAAATCCTAAACCGCAGTGACACTAAACCCTTTTGACGCTTAAGCCCTTAAGGGCAATGTATTACGCTGAGATACAGAACCCCTTGTACGTCTTACAGTAACCCGTATACTTGCAAGTGATAACCATGATACTTACAAGCGTTGTGGAAACCCTGGAACCCTTATTCTGAAGACAGTACTTTTACCCCCTAAAGCACTTATAGATTGCTTATACTCACCACACAACCCCCCAATATTACTACTTACTACTATTATTACTACTATTACTACTATTACTACTATTATACTCTTACTACTATTATTACTATTACTACTATTATTACTATTATTACTATTATTACTATTATTATTATTATTACTATTGTTACTCGTCAGCGCCACCTGCCAGTGTCGCGAACCCAGGACTGCTTTCTGCGTGGTCGCAAGCGCTGCGTCAGAAGCGAGATGAGGTAGGCAGACCGGTCCTTGGGTTAAGGGTTTTGGGTTTAGGGTTTAGGGTTTTAGGGGTTTAGGGTTTAGGGTTTTAGGGGTTTAGGGGTTTAGGGTTTAGGGTTTAGTTTAGGTTCTAAACAGCTTAAGACTCAGGGTTTAGCCCGAAATAGGGTGCGGTTTTAAGCTTTCGCCACACGAAGCTGACCACAAAACCGTAAGACGAGTTCACACCCACCCCCAAACAAGAACTACCAGAACAATTGTCCCCCAATCCTCTCGTCAGCCCATCCCAACAGAAACAGCAATTAAGATCAAATTCAATTTTCTGTATAATAGGCCTGAACTGAAATACTACTTTCTCTAGGCCCCGCCCCCGACAACGATCCCGCAAGCCCGCCAGCAAAGTGCTTAAATGGCACAAACAGAGGTCTGAAAAATCAGGTTCTAAATATTCAGACTGCGGTATTATGCCATTTAGGCGAAGTGCTGACAGGCTTGCAGGACTTAAACAAATTTAAAACACAATCCCTTTAAAAAATCCTTTATAAAATCCCTATAAAGAACTATCATACTACAATGTTCCAAAACCCACAGCTAATTATTATCGAACCCCCTAGTTTAAGTTACCTTGGTGAAATCGGTTGAACAACAAGTGCGGCGAGCTAGGCCAGTGCTTCAGGTACCCACCTCTGGCGTTGCACCCAGCCTCCGTCTGCAAAGCCCTAAGCCCCGAACATCCAAAGCATCCGCAAACCCTTAACCCGGGACTCCCTTTCTCAATGGGTTCGGGGGTGAGGTTCGTGACCTCATGTCTTTGTCACCTAGCGGAGAAACGGATGTATATCATTCACAGTCTTTCAGGGCGTCTACAGTACAGCTTTGCAAGCCTTCTCCAAAGCAGAACCGCCCTTGAGGGTCATCAAAATAGTTGTAATCAGGATCTGAAAGGACACCCAATTTGAGGGACTGCCTGGTAGGGCTTGGGACTTCAGCATTCAGGGTTTCCTAAGTCGAAAGCCTGCACCTTGTACTCTCAAAAACTCCAAACAAGCTACTCGTAGATAGCTTTCGGTCGGACCCCACATCCTTATGTAGGAGATAGAGTAGGGTTCGGGGTACTTCAGATTGTAGGTACCGCTCAATTGCTCAATGGGCTTAGGCCGGCACTCAAGGCATCCGCATGCCGCACACGCGTGGATCCCTGTGAAGAGTGAAAGACATGTGTAGGTAGCGCTACATGAATCCAGTAGAAGTTATTGAGGCTCCCCGAGCACAGTACTATAGTGGGACCTAATTTATTACTAAAACTATTTTGCGGGTTCCTGATTTCAATTATTGTATAAATGGGCCCCAAAACCCTATTCTATTTATTAAGGCCCCTATATCCCTAAATCCCTTATAGTACCCTTATAGTACCCCTTTTCAGGCCCCAAAATTACCCTAAACCCTCGCGAGATTCAAAAAGGCCTGGGCTTCGATCTCATGGCTTTGGACAAAGGGCCAAGTCGGAGGTGGCGGTCTCCCGGAAGATTCTGAGTGCCTCCAGGCGGTTCTCTTACCTCTGGTTAGTAGGGAATGGAAGAACGGTAGTAATGGTAGTTATCATTGTACCCCATTCCTCCATTCCCTACTAACCAAAGGTAAGTCCTGGGGGCTCTTCGAGCCCTTTGGGGCCTTTAGGAGGTCCTTGCAACATTGGCTTCGGGTCGGCAGTACACAGTTATGCTTGCGTGTTGATGGTACACTCACATACCAGCGCCATGAAGGTGCAAGTGTCCTCCCTGTCTTCATGTGTGGCCAGAGTGGGCGCGGGGCAAGAAGGGGTGCAAGACCACGCTCCTCAGTTAAAAAAAGGACTCAGAGATCTAAGCCCGAAGCCAAAACCCAAGAGCCCAGGATATCACAAAGAACACTGCTGCACGGTTGATGATATCAATCCTGCATTACCTTAATTATTAATGACCTTAGACTATGGGAATTATGGTACAATATATTCCTTATTGAGGGTAATGCAGGATTTATACCATCAGCCGTAGCACCGACCCTCGCTCTCCAAACTCGGAATACTGCCGACTTGGCTACTACAACCCAAATAACCCTAAACCCCTAAACCTCCAAATAACCCTAAACCCTAAACCCCTAATCCCTAAACCCCCAAATAACACTAAACCCTATAGACCCAAAACCTCCAAGCCCTGCGCTCAAAACCCTCCGTCCTCCTTGGCGTGCCCGGCGCTGCTGCGCCCCAAGAGCCGCCACGCGCAGGGCCGAAGCTCCGCCTTTCAGTTCGGGAAGGCTTAGGGTTTCGGGTGATGAGCGCTCCTTTTTTGTTTGTCGGTCGTGAAGGTTTGGGGTTTAGGGGTCTAGGAGTTTAGGGTATGACAGCACCCCAAACAACCTAAAGGTTGCCTACTCTACTAGTAAGGGGGTTTCTAGATGCTTACAGGTTTCGGGTTTGGGGGGTTCTGGAGGTTTACGGTTCAGGGGCTTCTTGGCGTGTAGTGTAGGGGCCTTAATAATTACCTACATATACTGTTTTGGGGAGTAAAGGAACCCTATTCTGAGCCTATTCTATAGGTTTAAGTTGCCATAGTAAAGAACCCTTATTATTTACTATCGATCCCTACTTTTGTAACTTAACTTAAGTTCCTTAATAAGAGCCCACTATGCGCCTCAAGCTCAGGACACAGCTCTCGCAGTCCTTGCACACCCAGGGCGTCGTCGGTGTCCTGCTGGCAGTTTCTGTGCGTCACTTGCCCCAAATTCGCAAGTACAACTGACCATTCTCAAAAAACTGGAAACCCAACTGGCAACCCTAAAAAAGCCCTGAACCCCTTCGTCAGTAACACTTATGCCTGGACCCTTTCGTGCACAGACTTGCACATGCCCCCCCTGGATCTGAGAGCTGCTGCACTCGTGGCAGAAACCCTAAGCATCTGAAACATCTCAAGCCCAGGAGAGCCGTTTCCTTGCCTGGGGTCCAAAACGTTAAACTCCCAAACCCCCTAGTGAAGCGAAAGACAGGCTGACGTAGGGGTCTGTGGTTTAGGGTGTGGGGATCACTAGTTCGGAATGTGGAGTCTTGGTCTAGAGTTCCTCCAAGGGCCATTTTTCAGTGGCTCCATTAATGGACACTTTTAGGCTTGGTATAGGGGCTGAATAATAAGAATAGGGATTATACTGTAGGAATATATCAACTTGGGGTTTACGGCGTGTAGAAACGGCTTCGGTGTTTGGGGTCTACAGGCTAACGACGGCGAAATGCAAGGGCACAGCTTGTCCTGGTATGGGCTGGGGCGGCCGAGCATCTTCCTCGGCTGCGAGACTGCTCAGCAAACGCCAACGGTCTATGTTTTCTTCCACCACCTTACTCTTGAGAGATTCTGAGAGCCACACAGTGAGATCAATGAAAATAAGCTGATGGTCATTGTTTCTTCATTGCATCATCGTTTCTTGCTGGCAGCATGAATAAATCATCATGTCCGGAATCGTTCTTTCTTCATTTTTTTGAGGACAGCCTCAGGAAAGCTTCATTTCGCATCATGACATTATCTTGTTTTCATCGTCCTGTTTTCAGTATTTGGCAAGAAAGGCTCGGGTAATCGGCGGGCCGAAACGCTGGAATTTGCGAAAAAATGATGAAAGCCTGAGGATATCTCCATGTTGGATCACTTCGTTATCATTTCCTCTCCTTTAATTATCATGTTTTCATGATTTGACTGGGAAAGGCCGTCGAATGGGTGGGCGGGAATCCTGGAAACGTAGAAAAATGAGGAGCCTCAGAACATGTTGTTTTCGTCTGTTTTCATCATGCGTCAGAACTGTAGTCACTGTGAAATCAAAGGTGAAACAAAAATCAAACGGGTAAATAATGATGATGTGGCTTCAGCCAAAGCAAAGGGAACAATGATGCAGAATGATCAAGCAATGCCTCCCAGTTACTTCCATGATGTCCAACCCCTGGCTTCCAAAGCAACTGTAAACTGTATGCAAGGCTACCTTGATTTCGGCTGAGGTTCAGCTTTTGAAGCACTGCTGCGCTCGGATTTTCGCAGAAGACATTGGCTGCGACCTCACGCAGGGCTGCCTCTGCATCACCAGCATCGGCGGCCTGCTCAAAGAAGCAGGCGCAGTGCGACACCAACTAGTATATATTCCGACGATTTGAACAAGGAAGCCAAGATGCTAATGTTGATGGTGCTCATAGCTATGAGTAGGATACATGTGGTGGTGGTGGTGGTGGTGGTGGTGGTGGTGGTGGTGGTGGTGGCGGTGGTGGTGGCAGCTATACTAGCAGCTATTATCACTATTACTAGGACTAGTACTAATACGAATCCTACTACTACTACTATTGATTGTTATTGTGATTGCCAGTGCTGTTCCTCTTACTATTACAATTACTCTTACTACAGCTACTACTACCACAGCTACTACTACTGCTACTGCTACTGCTACTGCTACTACTACTACTACTACTACTACTACTACTACTACTACTACTACTACTACTACTTCTACTTCTACTTCTACTTCTACTTCTACTACCGCTGCTGCTGCTGCTACAGGTACGACTACTACTACTACTACTACTACTACTACTACTACTACTACTACTACTACGTCTACTTCTACTTTTACTACCGCTGCTGCTGCTACTACTACACTACTGCTGCTGCTACTACTACTACTACTACTCCTGCTGCTGCTGCTGCTGCTGCTACTACTACTACTACTACTACGTACTAGTACTACTACTACGTACTAGTACTACTAGTACTACTACTAGTACTACTACTAGTACTAGTACTAGTACTAGTACTACTACTACTACTACTACTACTACTGCTCCTGCTGCTGTCGTCTACCGCTACTGCTGCTGCTACTTCTAGTTCTGATGCTAAGGTGCTAGTGCGAGTGCAGCTCCTACTCATACTGCCACTCCTACTCCTACTCCTACTGCTGCTGCTACTGCTGCTACTACTACTCCTCCTACTACTACTACTACTACTACTACTACTACTACTACTACTACTTGCTGCTGCCGCTGCTTCTACTGATGCTGCTGGTCCTAGCTGTACTAAAGGGCGAAGAAGACTATGAACAACAATCCAGATACCTATTCTTCTTCACTACGGCCACATGCAACACAACATGCCCGACACCATGAAACCCTGCAAGGTCTGCGCTAGCGTTTACCCCATGACACCTACAAACGTACACATCAAAAGCAAACCTCGCAACCACACCCCACTAAACCCTAAGCCTTGTTTCGTTTGAACCCGTACCCTTTTTTGCATCATTTTGCAACTGGGCTTGGGGACTACGACTACCGAGATGAACCCGTACCCTAAACCCTAAACCCCTGAACCACCCCATAAGGCTTGGATTCCTCCAGAGAAGGTCGGACATCGTCGTGGAGCTCTTCCTTCAAATGTGGGAACTCCTCTGCCAGGGGGTTGAATGTTTAGGAAGTTTAGGGTTTAGGCATGAAGGCTTTAGAGGATTTTATGAGATCGTAAAGCATCTAAGGGCTTGAAAGGGCCTTATGGTCCATAGGCATTCGCGTCTCGCACGGAATCTGGCGATGTTGTTCATGGTTTTGGACGTCAGTTTTGGATAAAGCCTGCCGCTGCTATAGCGCTGCAGCACCCGTTTACGTCAGGCCTGCATGTGGAGCCTGGCTACTCCGAAGGCCCTGATGCGCAACTGCGGGCAACCCTCAGAAACCTGAACCCGAAACCGAAATCCCCCCAAACCAAGAGCTCAACCCTGGCACTTCGAAGTGTGGGTTCGGCAGACATCTTGATATCGGTATTCACTGTCAAGTGCTTTGGGGGTGGAGTGGTGTTTTACAACTATTACTGCAAACCTTCACTTCTCAAATCCGGAGTCTAGGTAACATCAGCAGGCCAAGCCCAAGACCGTCGAAAATGCCACCTACTCACGCTTCCGAGCAAGATAGCCTTGAACAGGGGACCAGGCCACTAATCTTAGAGCAGGGTCTCGGGCTCCGGGAATGCGACTCTAGACGATGGGCGTTGACAGGCTTTCTGCTGCTTCCCAAGTAATCCGTTGGGCTGTCAGCTGCCCTCAACGACATGCTGCATGATTGGGAAACGCATACAACAGATGAATCGTCGTCTTGCCTATTTGCTGATTACCAGCTCTACGATGAATGCGTGCCCGCCGGCTGCTTCCCATAACATATATCTGGCTAGCCAGTCGCTCCTCCAAAATCCCTTGCAGTCGCTCAGCTCCGAAAGGATCATCTGTGACCCGAACGAGCCTCATGAGCTTTGCTTTCCCTGTTCCGGCCGTGCGGTAATCACGAAGTGCTTCATTCCCCCTGCGAGTTTACATTGCCCTCATCATTCACAATGCATGTCACACATGCGAACATCTAAGACCAATGAACTGCGCATTCAAGGCTGTGCCCGGACATTGGAGATATGCCCTCAGAATAACGAGCTAATGTCTGCACGTCGAGTCGTACATGATGTCGATGGCCGTCAGCCAGCATTGCTCTTATACAGAAAAACCGACAGCAAGCCGGCAGGAATCCGTGGTTAAAACCCAATATGTGCATGTATATATATATATATATATGTGTGTGTGTGTGTGTGCGTGTGTGTGTGTGTATGCAAACCTTCTACACGAACAGACGAGATTACAAAACGCAATGTCTTTCTGTGTGTATATGTATGAATAATAAAAGGTACACATTTTTTTATATGTTATACAAACCTGCTACACAGAAAAAAAAGCAACTCTTCTGCTGCAGGTGCTCTCTACGAACACAAGATCCTAAGCACACACCACCTGAAGCTCTCTGCAGGTGTGGAATGCCGTCTCTCGAAAACACTGTAGTTCAGGGGCCGTAATAATTAGAATAGGGCTTTGGGGTTCATTCTATTATAAATATAATGAGGCTATTTATGCCACTATAATAAGACTTGTTTGGGAGTTTTCTGAAGTGGGTTCAATGCAAGCGTTGTTAAAACGCCTCCTGAAGAAGCAGCTGGCTTTAAACAAACAGATCCCCGTAACTCGAAATGTAAGGAACCCCAATCCCTGCAGGGAAGCCGCCGTGGAACGACCTCGCTCCAGGGAGGAAATCCAGCTAAGATCGGTCAGAGTTTGTAGATAATATAGGGGCCTGAATAACCGACAGATGTCCGTGAATATAGGGGGCTGAATAATTACCAATACTACCAGGGATTCCTATTATAATTAGAGTATAGTACGCGTGCCCCAAAACCCTATTCTAATTTTTAAGGGCCCTACATGTAACCTTCTCGGGCAAGCCTGCAACACGAGGTTTGGGTAGGTGGGCGGGGCGGGGCTTCGTGCAGGATAGTGCGTGGGTTTAGTTTCCGGGATCTCAATCTTGTTTTAAATCCTCATGCCTCGAAGCTCAAGAGGCTCCAAACGACTATACTGGTTGAGCAAGGGGCAACACAACTGGGATCTCAAGCTTATGATTTAAGGTTCAGCTTCCCAGTCCAAAGCCTTGAATCGCTAGCTGCGGAGATAAGAGTTCGTACCGAAACCCATGAACCCTGCAAGCCCAAAACCTCTACTCCCTAACACATTCCAAAACCATGCAAATTGCAAAACGCCCAGAACCTTTGCAGAACTCTGCAAGAACCTCTGAAGGATATATACTATAACTATGACACGGCAGCTCAAAGGAATTCATCTAAAGCCTGGACTCGGAGACCCGGCCCGGCCTTCCTCTTCGCCAAGAAATCCTGGGCTTTGGAGTAACCAAAGCGAAAAATCTAAATGCTAATTCCTGAATATTACGAATTCTAATTCCTTAATTGCATGGATTCTAATTTCTTGATATCATGAACTCTCTAAATTCCTTAATGGAACCCTGCAAAAAAGCATCAAAAGTCTATGGTATACGGTGTACCCAGGCTCGTCGGCGAGCGAGGTCAGGAAGCCGAGGAGATCATCCTCGGATCCGGCGAACTGAGGGTTTCGGGGCCTGGGCCTAGGAGCCTGGGTTTGGGGTCCAGGATTTCGTAGTGGTAGTAGTAGTCGTCGTCGTAGTAGTAGTAGTAGCAGCAGGTAGTGGTGGCAGTCGGGGAACTGAGGGTTTTAGGACCTACGATGTTTTGGAATCGAGGGTTTCGAGGAAGTAAGGGCTTCGTCTAGCACGCTCGGACTATCTCCAGGCAGGTTTAGAGGTCAGGTTTTCGAGGAAGTTGGAGCTGAAGGTTGTTTTGGAGGGTCGGGGGACTTAGTAAGTAGGTAGTAAGTAGACTTATAAGTACCCGAAAAGGGACCCTAATTGGGGTTATGGTACTTATAAGTCAGTCTATAAAATAACTAGTTACTAAGTCCCCCGACCCTCCAAGTAGTGCGTCTGCAGGACTCTTTCGATTCAATTCACATCTAACAGAAGGGTCAGCGGGTCTTTTAGGATTTCTGGGGGTGGAGATTGGAGGTTATAGGGTCCAGGGGGGTTTAGGGCTTTTGCCGTCTAGGACCTCAGGCTTGTTTCCTTCGGCAAAAGCTTTAATTTAAGATCTTTTATGTGTTTCGACGCTCACACTCGCACAAGGCAGCCAAGGCTCCTCATGGGTTCAAGGTTCCGGATTTTGGATCTCATGACTTAAAGATGCTGCGATTAGTGGGGGTGCGAAGTTTCGGGGTCGGTTTGGAGAGTAGGGAGAAATTTCTGATGGGTCTAGAGCCATGGCTGAGGGATTTTGGGTTTGAAGGCTGCAGCCCTCTTTCTTTTTAACATTTCAGGCTTGAAACTGGTGGCTTGTTGCTCTTGGCTTTGGAAGGTTGGTTTTTGCTTCTGACCCAGCTTGGTTCATGTTTTGACCGGTGCTAGATGAAGCCATAGGATCATCCACTATAGGTTCCGCCCTAAGAACACATCCTTCGAGCCGTGACACATTGTCGTGCAGAAGGACGTCCTTGGCGCCTGAACCACCAGCGAAGCATCTTTGGGCGGCTGGGAGAATCGAACCAACAACTCGTTGTAACACAAGCTTGGCCATAACCCAGACCCCAAAACCCAAAACTGTAGACAATTCGCACAGAGATGAGTGCTCGCACCAGAAGCCCGACAGGAACTAGCAACTAGGACCTTGTGCCACACCCCGAAACCCTGTGTATATACATATATATATATATAAATACATATGTGTGTATATATGTGTATATAATATATATATATACACACACACACATATATATATATAGAAGCTTTCCGCAAAGGTCACCCGTCGCACTCCCACACGGAAGCCATTCTGTCCTATTGCGCAACGTGAGAACAAGGATCAGACGCTGTATTCTGCCAAGCCACCATACCTGCTCTCACAATACTGCTCCATGGCCAGAGCAAACCTGCGTGAAGGCGTATGCCTTATGCTTACTAAGGGGTACCTTATTCGGGTGTCCTTATAACAAGGATCCTACTGCTTAGGGTGCTTTTTAGGGTCCCCTATTTTCGAAAACTCCCCGTTCTGCGGAGGGAGGTTGACCCTAGGCCCTATGCTGCCTGTCCAGAAGCCATCAGAAGCCTCAACCGTTTCTTGACTTGCGAATGAAATCCAGATTCTGCGGCACGGAAAGGAGGGTCTTGCAGAGCTCAAGCCAAGCCGGCATTAGGTGGACAAGGTGATTGACGGTTCAACGAAGGACTGTGCTTGAGTTGGCCACATTGTCACTGTTGGAGTTGATACGTCTATTATCCTCTTCGCACTAAACAGACGCGGGAATAATAACCCTTCGACTGTGTAGCTCCAGTTGTCCAATCTGCTTTGGGCAAGCGAGTCAACGGCCCTAAGACTACCGAGAACCTGCTGACCCAATAAAATTATAAGGATAATTCAGAAGACATTTTTGAATTCTATTGAAAACTTAGAGTAAGATTTTACTTAGATCTTATTGGCTATCGGAAAAAGCTCTCCGATCCTGTCTGGGGTTTATGGGTTTAGCTCTCCGATCCTGTCTGCGGTTTATGGGTTTAGGGTGGGCTCGCCATTCAACAAGGCGATGCCGCTCAGTATCTGTAAAACCCTGCACCCGTAAAGCCCAATATCGCATGAACTCGCCTTCCCGTCGGCTCGGCTTCTGCCGCCTTCGGGCGGAAACGACGGTGCTTGAGGATTTGGAGTTTTGGGATTGAAGGATTTGGGTTTTCGGGAGAAGGTGAACGATGATCAAGGCTGTGTGGATGTGTTGTTTCTATTTTAACCCTTGTCTCCTCGGCTTGCTCCAATCGCAGTGCAATGCTTCGGCACATCCACAAGCCACCCGCTGCAAACGACCACAGCCTACAAGCAAAACCAAGGAGAACCCTTGCCAATTTCACCGAAAACAACATGGTTGCCTGCAGCACCATGTTTGTTTGCAAAAGCTTGTCAGTGTCATGGTCGGTTTTTGTTGGGATACATTCTGGCAATGATCGCGGGGATCTCGAGATTAATGAATAATCAGCTCAAAACTGGTTTTTTGGAGAACCACCATCGAAGAATCAGGGTGCACTTCAACCCAGGGTTTAGGGTAGGTCGTTCCACCCGAGCCCAATCGCCTCAAGCAGCAGCGCTCCAGGAGACAGTCGGCGATACCCGTGCCTCGGCTTGAAGCTTGCTGGAGGCTGGGATCACACAGGTTTTGGGACGGTAGTGCTACTGCTGTTACTGCTACTGCGACTGCTGCTGGTACTATATACTCTTATCGCAGCAACAACGACTACTACAACTACAATTACAGTGACTACTACGACGACGACCACTCTACTACTACTACTGCTACTACTACTACTGCTACTACTGCTCCTACTCCTACTACTACTATATACGACTACTACTACTACTACTACTACTACTACTACTACTACTACTACTACTACTACTACCACTACTACTACTACTACTACTACTACTACTACTAGTACTAGTACTAGTACTAGTACTACTACTACTACTACTACTACTACTACTACTACTACTACTACTACTACTACTACCACTACGCCTACTACCACGACGACTACGACGACTACTACTACAGTACTCCTGCTGCTGCTATTGCTACTACTACTACAACTACTACAACTACTACTACTACTACTACTACTACTACTACTACTACTACTACTACTACTAGCAGCAGCACAGCTGTATGTACGGATGAATACACAGTATATGGACATTAGTTAGCCAGCAGTGCTGCCACGTGACGACGACTGCACCTGTTGCTCCCAGGCCAGAGTCTCTCTATCATTTATTTCGTGGTGATCACCAGTGACATACCGAAGCCTGGGATGCTTGGCCAGGATGCTGAAAGGCCGAAACAAACCGCCGCAGAGTCGGCACGCCTGGGTGGATGTCAAGTTATGGCCTCTCTCTGGCCTAGGGTTGGCGTTTGGGGATTGGGCTTCGGCCAAATGCAGTGTTGCTAAAGATCTGCCGCGAAACATCTTCAGCTACGACATATGCCACGACATAAACACCTGCACAAGTTGCCATCACACCTCGCTTGCTCTAGAACTCGTGAAACATGCCCAGGAACCAATGTGGACAGCTGAATCATAAACCTCTCCGTTCATAAGGGGGTTTCCGAAAATAGGGGACCCTTTTTGCAGCAGGCCTCGTTGTCCAGCAGCCCGGTTACAGCAAAATAGGGGACCCTAATATAGCATCCTCAACACTAGGATCCTTATTATAAGGACCCCAAAATAAGGTATACCCTGATATTCGGCAACTCCCATAAGTTTTCAATACAGTTGCTGTAATTCTCCGGCGCCAGGTCGGGCTGCTCGGTTTTCCCAGTCCACTCCTAGCACGCCATGTCTGGGCGTCTTTCGCGGGTGTTTAGGGTTCCTGGCAGCACTTTTGGGGGTTTGGGAATTCTAGACGCTTACACTCGGACAAGTTTTCTGCAATTGGGGGTTTCGGAGATCATGCTCACCTCCAAGCAAGAATTTGCTAAGCGGGCTGGTCACTTTTGCAGTGTCCCCATCAGGCTCAAGAATAAGCCTGCCACGGCTGTTAGCCAAGCTCTTGAGGCACAACTATAGTATAGGGGCTTGATGTGAGGGCCTTAAGAATTTAGAATAAAGTTTCGTGAAGGGCTACTCCACGTTTACTATAATAAGCTTTTTTCACATGTTTTTGTATAGCCTATTCTATCGCAGGTTCGGGTCTCTTCTGACGAGAGACAGATGCGAACACTGCTTGAGTCTCAGCTGGGCTTGACGATTAGGGTTACATGATAACATGATAGAAGAAGCAACCAACAAACCGATACCTTGCCAAAAAGGCCAACGCAGAGTCCCTGGCAATTGCTACAGAACGGAACCCTAAACCCTAAAGCGCCGTGACCCCCGAGCCCTAAAACCAAGTCTCGGGTCCTCTGTGCAGAACATTTGCCTCAGCTGTCGCCCTGCACATGTGGGCTTGCAACCTTGGGCCTCTCCGCCCTAAACCAAAAGTCACGGTTGTTGCGGTTTAAAGGTTTCCGGTTTAAGGGTCGAGGGTTTGGGGGGTTTTTGAGGGTTGAAAGTTTTCAAGAGTTGAGGGAACACTCCAAACTTCCTGAACCAAAAATCAAAAAAACATGCCAGAAACCCATACCTTCAAGGTATGCCTGAATCCTAAGCCAAGAACCCCCAAACCTTAAGAGCCATGGGCCATGGGCCATGACACACCTTCGTGTTGCTGGGTGTATATTATACGAGCCTACGATGAACCTTCTTTTACCATAAGTTGTAAGTTTGTTGAAAGCCGGCCTTTCGACGAGCCAACCTTGCAGAGCATTGCACTTGACTGGGGGTTGTTTAAGCCTAGCCCTAAACTGTCCACCTTAACAGCAGAAGCCAACGAGAAACCCTGAACCCTAAGAAATAAAACCTAAACCCTTTTTGCATCCAGCCTGCAAAGCCACTGCTGGGAAGTAAATGAGCGCCTAAAGCAAACCTTCAAGTCTGCCGTGCTACTCATCAAAACCCCTAAGCCCTAAGACCCCATACTGTGCCAAGTACCCAAAACCCTATAAACCCTAAAACCAAACCCTAACCCTTTGACCCCAAACTCCGTCAAGTCGCCACTGTTTCTCTGCCGATCTCCCGGACTGAAGGATGCCTTCCAAGGCGGCGCGCCACGGGGAGGTCCTCGCTTGCGGCTGGTTTAGTGTTTAGGGTTTTGCGGTTTAGGGTTTCGGGTTTTTTTGTTTAGGGCTTTAGGGTTTTAGGGTTTCGACGTTCACACTCGTACAAGGCAGGCAAGGCTCCACATAGTCCACAGTATCTCCACTACATGTGAGGCTAGCAGGCAGTTCCATGTTGACAAACACTACAACCATGGCAGAAATAACATAACCACAATGGTAGCACGTACAGAACTGCCGCGTCCCCTCAGAGTTTGGGCTTGTGCCCCTAGTTCAAAACTACAAGTCTTCTCTACCCCGGCCATCGTGGTGCGTCAGTGCTCGAAGGCATGCTCGGGTTACTTCATGCACAAGCACATTCTGTCATCGTCACCTCATGCATGCTTCCATCTTGCTTGCAGTGCCAAAATGGATGTCGGTGGCTCCACGTCCAATTTCATTCGTCGCTTACCAAATTCGTCCAAGTTCGTCAGCTTTGTCACATGCAGCACCTCAGAGTTGCAGCAACCCATTGTCATGCTGATCCATGCATTCGTGAATTAATGAATTCGTGAATTCACAGGTCATGCCACCGGTCGAGCGGGCATGCTGGAATTCACCAATTCATAAGATCATGAATTCATGAATTCCCCCAGCCAGCAGAGTGGTCACATTTTCAGCTCCAGAATACGTGCGCCACCTGCAGCACATTCCATGTCAGTCCTGCACGTCGCGCGAACTAGTAGCGCAGCCTATGCCGGCCTGGTCATGTCTCGCCTGGCTGTTTTACCCAGCAGCTGGTCTGCTCTGAGAAACCAGACTCTGATGTGCACTCTCCACAGCAGGCCTTCAGAAATCTCTGTGACCGTGCGCTCATGGTGCTCAGGCAGATCCGTTCTAGGACACTGGGCCATAGTGATCTCACAGGCTCTCCGCAAGTAGTTCAAGTACGCCTGTACCAGTCCCAATCTGTTGAGGTCCCTGTGCGATGTCTGTAGGCGTTGCGGCTCTGGCTCCAGGTACCTTGCTAGCATTCCTGCAGAATCTGTGTCCAGGTCCTCGAAAAAGTCCAGCAGAGAATGGGCGTAGCACAGTCGGCGGAGGAAGGCTTCCAAAGGTCATCTTGTCAGACTGGGGTGGACATGGCAGAGGGCACGGAGGCGGTCTAGTGACGATGACCTGGTTAGGGGGGGAGAAAAGTTAAGCTACCTGTCTAAGCCCCAAGGAAACTTGATCACTGGATCCCTCGTGCTGTGGGAGTGAGGTCTGATGGTGGCAGCGACATCATCCAAGCATTCATGTCATCCGGTTCATCGCGGCATGGCGAAGCCGGTACATCGGTGGTAATCTGTATTCATCTCCTACATTGTGTCACCGCCTCACACCTCAGCATTAAAGCTTTCTCCACTCCCTGTCTGTTCTCTCTGTTGCATGCTGCAGTGCCTCGACCCTAGATTGGATGAACCTGATGAAGGCAGGAATGGTGATGTCTGGCCTCGTGGGATGAGCCTGATGAAAGCAGGAATGGTGATGGATGGACATTTCCTTCGACAACAGGCCTAGCATAGGCCGGGGTGGTAGCTTACTGTGTTTATGCCTACTGTTTTACTGGGCCCCGGTGAATGCCTTCCCAGCGCGAAATCTCGGTAGGGTGCGAAGGTCCCAAGCTGCGCAGGGTTTCGGCGCACACACTCGCACAAGTGAGGGATTGGGTTACACGAAGCATCGTATGAACCTAGAGCAGGCATGGTGATGGTCGTCCAATGAACCTGATGACAGCAGGCATGGTGATGAGACCATTGGGTAGGGGCACCAGGGCACACATGTGACAACCACAATTTGCACTAGCTCATGCGGTCCGGCCGCCTTCATTTTGGCACCTGACTGCCAGCCATTAGTCACACATGTCCATGTGATGCGGCCCTGTACAGTTGTTGTGGTGCAGTGTGCCCGTTCTAGCTCGCGACACTCGGCCATGTTAGACTAAAGACAAGCATCCATCAACTATGGAATAACAGTTGGCCCTGGTTCGCTCACTATCATAAATTCTCGCATGCAGCGTGCAACATGCAAAACTCACTTGCGTACAAGCAATGCGGCATATTACATACATGCACATGCGAAATTCAGGCAGTCTGTACGGCAGAGTCACATGCAGTACAATCATGCATATTGGTACAAATAAATTCTGAACATGCATATTGGCACAGATAAATTCTTCACATGCACATGCCCGTTTCTGGCCTTTTCGACCCACGCTAAAAAACAAAGGTACAGACAATATCAAAGCTGCTGCAAGATATCCTAAATGGATCGGCCACGGGGCTGCACAATCTCAAAAGTCTCAAGGTATAAATTCCATGCAGAGCACATGCACTTGCAACATGCAGGTCAGGTACACTGCCAATGCACCAAGGAGATATACCGAGTGAAAACAGGACCCGTGCTGCTCCCGTGCTATTGCATGCTCTGCTTTCCCGCCTCAATTACTGGCTCACAACAAAAACACGGGGTAACCAGTTCAGGAGTTGGGAGCAAAGGTCGAAGTATTTGGGAACTAAAGACAAAGCAGCTGAAGCAGTGACTAGCGCTGCAACTGATCTTCGGGAATCATAGAAACTCGGCCATCAGAAAAGGTTGGCCAGTGGTGCCATGTTCCTGGGCCTCGCTATGCGAGACTGGAGGTCGATGACCGTGGGCCCCCGCGTCTGCTGCAGCGGTGGGTAGGACGCGCTCGCAGCTCGGGAGCCAAAACACTCCATAAAACGATCGTTGTTCAAAGAGGGTCAGGCCCAACTCCTTGGTACGATCAGCATTCTCACGCACCTGCTCTCGGAACTCCACGATCATCTGCTCTGTCCTCTCCATGTTTTCTGTGTGCTCCTTCTGGGCTTAGGAGAACCAATCGTTCCTCATGCACGGGCAGTGGCATGTGCCACCTTGTACGTCCGCAGAAGCGGTACGATTCTCCTTGGAGCACCACTCCTCGACGGAGCTCCCACATGTTTCAGCTCCCTAATCTGGAGGAGTGCACTGTCGTATGGTTCATCCAAGACATCCTTAGCTGGTCGGAGATACATCTGCTCCACTCCCTTAAGTCCACGAATCAAAACCAGCTGCCTGTCAAGAAGACCTGGGGCTCCCTAAGTGGTGGTAGCCAGTTCGCAAGCCAATTGGGGAGTAGCGCCGCCCACTTCTTTCTATCCTGTGCATAGACCTCCCACGCTGGCGTTTCTCGTCGTACATCATCTGTCACTATCTTGCAGTACACTTTTTGCATCTTTCGTATGGAGAGATCACTTACCCAGGAGGCTCTCAGACCTCGCCTTAGGTTCGCGACCGTACACGTGCCTAACAGCCTGCACAGGGGATGTGACACTTTACTTCTGGCTAGGTGTCCGTGATATGTCCACAGCCTTCGCAGCCACGTTTTCCTCCAATCTGGCCCTCGAGCATAGGCACACATCAGTCTTACTGATATTCGCCTGCTGGCCCAGTTGTCCAACCACGGCAACAGTGGCTCTGTCGCTACCCTACAAAGCGAAAGTAAGTAGGTGTTCTTGCTGCCCTCAATGCTCTTAAGTGAGCGAGCGTCCGGGTACCATGCAGGGTGCCGCCCACTGCCGCTTCGACGTTACATAGGACTCAAACAATTCCAACCGTATGTGCAACGGTGTAGCGGAGTCGTCAAGCAACTTCTTCAATGCACAAAACGTGTTGCTCGTTTTCCTAAGCAGGTGAGTGAGGATGAGCTGCGGGCCAGGATTGTGTCCCAGTGGGACACCCAAGAAAAGCAAGTAGTCTTCCCCCGCCAAGGGCTTAAGGACCTTGGCAGTCAAACTCCTGGAGTGCAGCCAGTCACGTCGTTAAGCACCTTGCATTTGTCCAAGTTGACCACCAGTCCTATTGTTCTAAGAGTCTGGACCACATGGCGGACCAAAGCTTGAAGAGCTCTCTCCGTGTCTGCAAATATGATCAGATCATCTGCATAGATGAGGAAGTGAGGTATCCCTTGAATCTGCGATTCCCATTCCGGGAAAAGACCGTCAAAGAGCGGTACCAACAGTGCAAGGTACCAATCCATGATGCGAGAGAAAACATCGGCTGAAAACGCAGAGCTTTGCATGATCCCACGCCTCATTTCCGCCGTTTTGTCCATCCCCTAATCCCACTTGTACCTTAGTGCCAAAGCAAAGTCGCATGATGCCCAATGCCTCTGCACAAGGCTCACACGCCATGAGCCACTGAAACACCGCCTGATGAGAGACACTGTCGAACGCTGCTCGAATATCCAGCTTCGCTACTTTAGCCGTACGCCCTGTCATCCTCTTGATCAAGGACATCGTGCTTTGCGCAGCAATTATGCCGTCAAGCACCTGTACCCCTGGTCTACATGCAAGTTGGTTAGTTCAAGTTGGTTCGCCGCGTACTACTCATGACCACCTTAGCGAAAAATCGACTCAGTGCCGGTACCAGGCAAACAGGTCTGAGTGCCGAGGGTGTCGACGGTCGCGGCACTTTGGGAAGAAGTGCGATTTTCCCCCTCAGCCACCCCTCGGGGATGGGGGCTTTGCAACGTAGCAATTGAGTAAAGTAGCCAGAGAGCCGCTCCTTAGTGTCGCGTTTTAGCAGGGACTTCAGTCCCTCAAAGGTCACGCCATCAAGCCCTGTACTGACTCCAGGATTGCATTTAGAAAGAGCTTTCTGGAGCTCTTCCCGTGTGACGGGGGCCACTATTGCGCTAGCATGCTTTTCCCTTGCAAATTCCCAGTGAAGGTCTCCAATGCGGGGCTCATCCGAGGAATACTTATTGTTGTAAAAAGTATGCAGGTCCTGCACAGCCTTGGAGAGTCCCCCGGCCCGGAACAAATAGGATCCCTCTGTAAACGAGCCTGCTGCACTGCTACGGATGTGGGCGATAGCTCGTGTGTCGCCTGCCTTCGCCTTACTCAAGAGCTCCTCCGTGTGGCGTTGTTTGCAGTCTTTCCTACTCATGTGTATGTCTTGCATGAGGGCCGCCCTCGCATCCGAGTCCTTCAGCTTGTTTCGCAGTTCTATCATTTCCTTGACCTCCGGGGGGTCCGTGTAGCGCAGTGAGGACGGTCTGGCACACACTCCCAAGATGAAAGGACACCATAGGGCATCTAAGCGACAATTGCCAAAAACTGTCAAAAATCCCACATGGAGCAAACTGTCTTAAAGAATCTAGCACAAGTACGAGTATGCCAGTGGCCCCAGCCTTAAGCTTCAAAGGATAAGATACAGGAATCTCCCCCCCCCGCCGCCGCCCCCGAGTTCCCGGCCAGTGGGCTTGAACAGAGGCTCTTGTTCGCGAAGAAGACGCAGCTCTGCCTGCAGCTCGCCCACCCGGACCAAGTCCTTGGAGGCCATCGCCTCCCGCAGCTGCATCTTCAGTGCCTCCATGGTGCACAGCTCAATGCGGCAAGGCGGCCAAATGCTTGAGGCTTAAGCCAAAATGGCTACGGTTTTAGGGTTTAGGGGTTTAGGGTTTAGGCTTTTTTTTTTGGTTTAGGGTTTCGGTATTTTTCTCTCTCGCATGGCCGGGACCTATGCCCACTCGCGAGGTGGATAAGTTTGAAGCAAGAAACAGAAGTTTGCGTTCATGGTTGAACTGACATGACATGGCTTAGGGTTCAGGGCTCAGGGCTTAGTGTTTAAGGTGTAAGGTTTCGTTTTAGGGCGTATTACGGTTTACGGACACTGCGACTTTTTGAGGTTACCAGGATTTTGTTTGCCTCGCCAAGACTTGGCGTTTGGAAGGTCTGGGACTTGCGGCTTCGGAGTCTTGGGACTGGGGATCTGGGAATGGGGGTTCAGGCTTACTCTGGGACCTGAGGGTTCCTTTAAAGGGTTACTATAAGGGTACTATAAGGGTTCCTTTAAGGGGCTCCATAAGGGAGTAGAGTTTCCGAACATTCGGGGTACCATATTTTGGGGGTCCCTATAATAAGGATCAGACTATATTTGGGATACTAGATTAGGGTCCCCTGTTTTCGAAAACTCCCATCTGGGTTTATTTGGGGTCCCTATAATAAGGATCATACTATTTAGGATACTATATTAGGGTCCCCTAATTTCGAGAACTCCCATCTGGGTTTAGGGTTTCTAGGGTTCAGGGACCCCCAGAACCACCGTGCGTTCTGACTCGGGCTCCGCAATCTGAGCATTCGCACGGGTCCTTGTAAAATGCTAGTGTTTCTCAGTCAGCTGAGACACTCACGTGCTCCACTACTTCAGAAGACAACCAGAGACCATCATTGCGAAGCACGAAGTCTCAGAATCACAATGTCTGAAAAGTCCTGAACCCAGAACGCTGCACAGAGGGAGACACAAAACGAGAAAAGAACACATGTTGCGAACCCCTAAACCAACGACCGACCATCGTCCTTGCCGCCGTTGACACATGCACAGTTCTTGGTTTCCCCAGGCTCGTGGGCGATACCAAACACCTCACAGAACGATTTCGAGATGTGGGACTCGGAAATAGCTTGCAATTCAGCAATCTCATGCATCTGGATGCGTGGCTTATGGTCGTCTGCATCGGGCTGATTGATCTCTCTTCATTTTCAGTCATCACCATCGTCTTTTGATTGTTATTTAGCACATCGGTCGGATATCTGATCACTCTGCACTGCACATGGCAAGAATCCGACCCCCCCAGAGCAGTAACGCCGAAGAAACCTCGGGTTCCGAGTCCCAAGTTTCCGAAAACGGTTTAAGGTTTATAGGGTTTAGGGTTTAGGGTAAGGTCCTTATAATAAGGATCCTATTACGGGTCTCTGCATCAGGCTCCTACATCACACCACCCGAAACCCACACCTCAGCGTGAGCGCACATCTCAGCGTCAGCGCTGCGAAAGCAGAAACAAGGATCCACGGACGCCGCATCAAGCCGACTTTGGGCCATGGCAGTGAGTAGTTCCGTCGTTCGTGGTTGTCAACTTTCTGGGTGGGGGAAAAGGGTGTTTGACTTGGTCCCTGTTAGGGGAATCAGAAAAAGGATCCTCCTGTCATAAGGTTTCGATACTATACTGGGATCCCTTTTTAAGGGGACATTATGTCTGGCTCAGGCTATAGGAACCTGGATCTATCCAATAGTCAACAGTCTTCTCTGCATGATTAATGCATAGTGAGGGTTGAGGGCTTTGGTTTCCTTGGAGTGCTGTGTGCCCCTAAACCCTCTTTGAACCCAGGCTCTATGCCATGCCCCTGAACCCTAAACACTCCCTTAATTTGGGCCATGTCGCGTTCACGGAAACTTGCGAGTTTGGGCCTATTCCAGCTTCGCATTTCGCGCTTGAACCGGCGTGGGTTTAGCAAGTGGGGTCGTGGAATAATAGGGGGCCTAACTATTCGCCGACGTTAAAATACATCTGCGACCGTACCCACCTTGAAATGGCCGATCGGTGGGTTACCTCTTTCCCGACGGACCATTGGCATTGGTAGTCTTAGTTAGGCTCGCAATTGCTGTGCCAATACGACCGCGAGTTGATGGCAGAAGGCAGGAAGCTGCAGCATCATTTTTGGGCTGGCGGTTGGCTCCATATGGCGTCTCTACCTGACTCTACCTGTTGGCATCCATGCCAGCTTCGGTTGCTCGAAGAGTGTGGCCCGAGAAATTATAGAAAGGAGGATCCTCATGTTGAGCTTGTTGATCCGGTGTCCCTTGCCGACTGCAGCATGTCCTTGCAGGTCTGCCGGAGCTGTTGCACTTGCACGAGCAACCCCTCAGCATTTGTGAGTTGGAGGTCATCCTTTTGACACTTCTCCTCTGCAACTGCCAGGAAAGCGTCTAACTGCGAGATGAACCTGGAAGCATCGGTGTTTTCATCCACTGCGGCTGCATCATTGGGAGTGCGGAGTTCTGGGACTTCCTGCAGCACTTCCTCACTGGCGGAGGGGTCGGAGGCACGTGGCGGCAAACTCATCGGCGAAAGCGAAGGTAGCGGCAAAGGCGGAGGGTTCGCTTCGGAGCGAGACCGAATCGTGATTAGCTCGATCTGCTTGTCGGTCCACCAGCTGTAGCTGTTGTCGAACTCGAAAATGATCTCTTCCATCGTGGCGCCCTTGCCAGCTTGTTCAAGGAAGTTGGAGTCTTCCGACGGGACGAAGCGGCCCTGAAATGTACGACCGCTACCTTTCTGCTGTAGCCAATGCATCGTTGGAGGCTCACTGCTCGCTTCATCGGACTTTAGAAGGACACAAACTTCCAAGTCAACCGTCTTCTCGTCGAGCACAATCGCATTCCAATCCAAGCTGCCCAAGGCAACAGACATCAGAGTGCCATCTCCACTGTCCTCTTCCCAGTTGCATGGGATTTTGTGCATCAACCTCTGACCGGCAGGGACTGTTAAGCAAACGCGGTCAGCCATTCTGTCGACCAGGCGCCTAAGAAAGTTGCGGAACGGCTCGAAAATGATGTTGTGCAACGCATAAAACGTCCTTCATGAACTGTTACACACGCATGCACATATATATATATATATACATGTGTATATGTATATGCGCGACATATACACATGCTTTTGCACGACTCTCCGTAAACTCGTGCATTCATATGTGACTGCTTTTTCACATCTAAAACGCGGAAGCTAAGAAGACGTCGCACCTTCGGAGCCGGGGTCGGCGAATGTTGGCTTGTAATGTGGAGCCTGATTAAGAAACCTCGGGCCTCCAATCGGGTTCCTTTTGTCCAAGGGTAAAAGGAGGGACCCTTAATAAGGACCCCTAGGTATATACCCTTAATATAGCTATTCTATACCCATTATATAGCCCCATTATGGGGTAGGGGTCCCCATTAAGGGTCCCTCCTTTTCCCCTTTGATTTTGTGAGCCCTACGATTTTGGGGTTAAGCATAGGCCCGGGGTGTCTTTATCAGGTTCCTACATTAGGCTGAAAAAAGCATCTCTGCGAGTTCTTAGCTCTACAGGTAAGAAGAACACATCCTTGAACGGAAGTAGGGTTTCGGCGCCCTCACTCGGACAATCCTTGCGAGGCATAGGGAGGTAGTTTTTTTTTTGGTGTTCTTGGCTTAGCGCGATGCGTAGGATATGTTCGGAGAACCTATGGCTGGCCTAGTCGCTCCGCGTGTGTGTCTGCACTTAGTTTATTCGTTTAGGGTAGTCCTGGACCCCTTAGAACCTACCTTTTTAAGGGTTCCTTATTATAATGATTTCTTTTTACGGAAGTGGGGTTTAGTCCCGAGGTACTTTGCAGCCAGCTTCCTCATCTTTCAGCAAACCCTAAACCCTAAACCTGAACTCCAGGTTTTAGCGATCACGGCGCACAGACGTGAAGGCTCCCACGAGCTTTGAGCTTAAATGCTCGAACTCGGAGTTGATGGCCACCTGCTACAACAGGTTGCTATAACATCAGGCGCTGCTTCTGCGCCGATTCCTGCATGCGGACCTTTCGTCCGAAGATAGCGTCTCTGCTCCATGCTGGTTTGTGCTCACGTTGCTGTGTATCAAGTTTCCTATGTGCCGCGTTTGACCTAATGCCTCGCTCACCTTAGGTTTCCTGTGGCCATCCGTGGCCATAAGCTGCATGTTTCACTTACGACTTACACGTCCTGGAAAGCATCTACCTCGCTTTTTCACTCAGCTGTTGTAGACATCGGAGATCTCAAAGGTGGCATGGTTGTCCTGCGCCCAATGCCGATTTTCGCCCCTGCCTACCTGGGGTGTCTGATCACCAGCGAGCACCTCAATCTAAAACCACAAATGCTTATGTTCCCACTCCGGGTCGCCGTCGCGTGAACTCCAAACTTTCCAAATCGTTTCTGCCGGCACACATCGCTCAAGCCAGCTCCACATCTACTTATAGTCTCCATTGTAGTTCCTTTTGAGGCTACCTTATTGGATCCTTAGATAAAACTGGTTAAACCAAAAAAGGAACTACAATGGAGACTACATCTAAGGCCTTTCCTCGATCTCCGCCTTCCGTGGAAGTATTCGGACCAATGCAAGCACGGTTGCTAATTGGGTTTGATATGGACATCACCTTGAACCCGATAACCCTAAAACCCCAATGCTGAGTTCATCACGGCTGCGAGTATGGGGGTAAAGGGTGCCAGTCCTCCAATCGGAGATAGTACTCGCAAGCGTGCCTGGGATTTGGGCATACGGTTTGCTTTTGTTCAAAGCTCTTTTCCACCTGCACGTGGGAACTGATGGGATGCCAAAAGGGGGGTCTAAGATTCTTGGGGTAGGGATTCCTGAATATGAACCCTATTATGGAACCCTAATCCCTACTAAACTCCCCATAGGCTAAATCCCCTTTTGGCCTCCTATGAGGCACGGCCTACGGTAACGCCTTTGGCTTTAGGGTTCAGGGTTCATGGTCTTCGGTTTGACATTCCGACTCTGAGGGCTGTGGCTGTTGGCTTTCCGTTGTGACAGAAGTAACAAACAACTCCTGAGCCTCGAGTAATTTAGGATTAATAGTTAGACTAGGGTTTAGGGTTTAGGGTTTAGAGTAATTTTAGGCGCCTATTGATAATCAGAATAGAGTTTTGCGGCCCATTATACTACAAGTATAAGCAGGAACACCCAGAATAGTATTGGTAATTATTTCGGCCCCTAGAGTATGCTTCATACACCTCTTCTATGTGGACTATACGGGATATAGTTGGAGCTGGTTAACTAGTCACGCACGTCTTTTATGTGGACTAGAAGGAGGCACAGTTGTAACTGACTCTTCACACGCCTATATGGGAGCTTCCGAGAATAGGGGACCCTAATATAGTATCCCAAGAAGGACCCCAAAATAAAGTACCTCTAATTTTCGGAAACTCCCAGACTGGCTTTGGCCCTCTGCCATGGCACTTCTTGGACCAAACGCGGATCCAATTGCGAGGTAGTCGTTCGGCTCCTCGCGCTTTTGGGGGTCGTAGGGCTAAGAGTCCCGGGCTTAAGACTGCTATGTGATGATAATAGATTATAGTTCTAGATGGATTCTTGACAGGTGTTATAGGGGCTCTTATAGGTTAGAGTCTTCAGGGTTCCCGAGTCTAAGGCTTCAGGGTGGGGCTGAAAACTGAAGGTGCTTGGCTGCGTCCTTTGCGAAAGCTTCCCTCTTCCGGGAGCAGAACTTCGAACAGGGGTTCGAATCTTTGCGGCCCTCAACGTAGGGGTCTATTGAAAACGTGTCAAAGCTGCATGTTGTCTGTCCGGGGCTGTCATCTGTTTCCGCGGAGGGGCCGTTGAATGCTAAGGGGAGGGTCCGGATAAAACAAGGCAAATGGTATAGGGCATACTGAAGACTCAATGTTCTGATATTTTTTGAACCTGGACTTGATGAATGCCAGCACCCCTCTGGACTCAATGTTCTGATATGCTTCTAAGACCTTCCAAGTCCAGACCTGCTCAGACAGAGAACTGAGACGCAAACATACCTAAACCATGTACAAAGACATTGAACAGCTGGGCGAAGCAGATCCACTTTCTCTGCAACTCGCGTGGTCTTCAGGCGGTCGGAGATTGAGGGCTGGAGTTTAGAGTGTGGGTTTAGGGTTTAGGGGTCTAGGGTTTAGGGGTGGAGTCTGCAAACCTTGCTTGTAGCGAATTATTTCTGACAGAATTTCGGCGAGCTTGAGCAGGACCTGATTCCTAACTGGGCCGTTCTCGGAGGCCCTTCCAAAACTTACACTTGTCGCTCCCTTCTGGAGAAAGAGTGTCCACACGGTGAGAATGGCCAGGTATATAGTCGTCTAACCAATATGCAGGCCGTGGAAGTTGGAATAGGGTTTTGGTGCAGAACACTGTACAACCATGTCAAGGGGATTCTGTCGGGATGGATGTCTTACTAACAATTCCGACCGTAAATTGTCCAATTGCCGCCAGTGAGGTCGGCAAGCGCACTCCTGGAAAGACGATGTCCTGGACAGTCTTCCTTGGATTCGAAAAACGAGGCTTGCTGAAATTAAAGGCAACCGCTTCGGTATTATTATAAATCAACATCCAAGTATCTGTAGGGTCTATGTGAGGGTTGCCTGCTTTTGTGGATGCCCCCCTACTAACCGGAAACAGCGCCAGATTGCTAGATGAGAAGCTCCTGGTCGCGGAAATGACTCGACTGGGGAGACGTATCAGCCAAATCTTCGCTTGGGATAGAACACAAAACCAGCACTGATAACCCCAGACCGCTAAACTCAAGGCTAGAACGCCGCCCGGCACCAACTTGCTTTAGGGTCATCCCCAGGCAAAAACATGCTGTTCACTCTGGTCGGAGCTTAGGAATGTAAGGTTCGGCCGGAGCTTTGTATTGAGATGTTTCAGCACTCACTTAGGGTTTCACCACCCGGAGCTTCATTCTTGGCTGGAAGGCATAGGGTTGAGGTTCATGTAAGGTTTAGGGTGTGGTGTAGCTGTTTTCCAACCTGAAAGCAAAATCTGTAAGCCCTTAGGCCCCAAATGCCAACCGTTGGCCGCTGACAGTTCAACACACGCAGGAACGACAAGCTTCCCGCAAAGTCGCGAAAAAAACCTAACATGCGGCGCCTTGATGGCGAAAAGATTTGGTACTAAGATGCCTCAGAGGTCACTTTGGGGGCTCCTTTTAGGGATCCCTTCTTTGTAAAGGCCTCAGGTCCGTTTTTGCACTAAGCGCCTCTACTCTGACAGAAGAACACTGCAGAGGCCAGTGCTGGCCACGCGATGTTCCGACCCTCCCACTTCCCTGACCGCTATACTAATATACCTTAGCCTACCAAACCCTACTTTTTTGTAGGTTCTTGTTATGAACCTTAATATGGAATTTATAGGGACCCTACTTTTCGTAGTGTTTGGTAGGTTAAGGTAGGGTTTGGGTTTTTCCCTCCTACCTAGCAAGGACGAAGCCCGCATTGCAGGGTAACTCCGAAGCAACAGTTGAAAGAGCCGTACTGCTGACAGCATGTTCAGGGCATCACACCAAAATAGGGTTTGGGGTTTAGGGTTTAAGGCTTATGGGGTTTAGGGTTTAGGGGTTTAGGGTTTAAGGTTTAGGGTTGGTTTCGACTCAATGGGTTTAAGGTTGTAACAGCATATTCAGAGATCCTGAGGAAAGGTATGCTCATGATTCAGGCCCCGATATGACGCCAACCCTTCCGTCATCCTAGGTTGGGGTGCTTAGGTTGCAAGACCTACATGAAGCCGAGCGGCCAATCGTCGATGGAATCGGGCTGCTTCGACATGGAGTTTAGAATGTCTTCCGGCCCCTTGTCGGCGTCCAAGCTTTCGGTGGGTTTAGGGCTTTAGGCCGGCTACGAGACCGAATTAAATACACCAAGTTTCAACACATCAGCAATTGTTCAAAGAACAGGATAATATGAGTCTTAGACAGGATGTAGGGGTGACTGTGCATCGTATGCCACTCCTCGTCTATATCGTGTGCCAGGGCATCCCGAAGCGACCCGGCACGTGCTTGGCATCTCATAAAGCTAAGATGGTGGCTATCAGAAAATAGGGGACCCTAATGTACGACCCCTAGGATCCCTAGTATAAGGACCCCCAAATAAGGTACCCCTAATTTTCGGAAACTCTAAACCCTAAACCCTTTATAGAACCCTTATAGATCCCTTTAAGGAACCCTTATGGGTCCCTTTAAAGGTACCCCTAATTTTCGGAAACTCCTATTATAGGCCCGGGGCTGGGGCTTTGTGGTTTAGAGCTGTCAGCTCTGGGTCACGGTTTCACGGTTTAGGGTTTAGGGGGTTTCGGACATTTGTCACTCTCCGTCGGACAAGAATGGCAAGGTCACGGTCGCATACTACTGCATCTTGGGATCTGCTTAGGGCCTTTCCGGTAATCCAAACCCGTAAACCCCGGTTTTAACGTCTAAGTCTGGGGCTTTTCGAAGTTTGAGCTTGAGGTTACGGGCTCAATTCCAAAATCCGCACTGGCACAAACAATTCGGCAAACACTCAAGGTTGAGGCCTCGGAAGGGCCTTGACAGTGAGAGTAGGCCATTCGGTATACGGTCTACTCTATACCGAGTATACAAATAAACATATACATATACATATACATACATATATATATATAGAGAGCTGTGTAAATTTATACAACGTTATATAGATGGAGGTACACTTGGACTTGACTAGAAGGGGACATCAAATCCAAACCCTGTGTAAAACGGCTTTTGGGTCTTGACCCGAATCGCCCATGTCCGCAAGTCACAGAACACAGACCTGCGCCATTTTAGTGGTACGGTCCGAAACCTTCCAACCACTCGGAATATGCCTTGCGGCACGTAAGAGACCAAGCTACCCTTGACTCCACCCGGACGTTGACGTACCTCAGCAGTATCCACATCGGGGTTCGGTAGATCCTCTGCCCTGGAAACTCAAACGTCTGTGTGGATCCCATGCTATGCCATCGTGTCATGACGAGATTAGACAGCAGAATCTTGCAATCTGTGGAGACTGGCGGAGACCTGAAGGAAAAACACAATGATTTCTGCAATGGGATTTGGAGAAAACACAAGGATTTCTGCTATGGGATCAATTGCAGCAGACTCCCGAGACCGGAACAAAACCTCACTTAAAGCTGTGGGTTCTGAATGCTTCCGCGGCTTTAGGGCCTGGGGTATTTTTTTGTACTATGCTCGCAACGGGACCAGAAAGGAATTCGTTATGACTGATTTTGAAATTACTCGGATCCCTTTGTTAGGCAGAAACGGGTGGGGAGCCGTAAGTCACGTCGTCAGTCATATAGGTATCATAGGAAAGAGTCTAGAGTTTCGAAGTGTTAGCTTGCCATGGGTTTTGGTGCCTTTGAATCTAACTAAAGCCCTGCTTCCAACTACCGCATCACGCCCGAAGCAATAGGGGGCCCAGCTTGGGGTATAGTGTACTGTAAATATAATAAGGAACCCCCAAACAGTATTGGTAATTATTTAGGACCCTAAGTATAGTAGATTCTGCAAGCATCAGCTTCGCTATCATGCACCTGAAGCCAAGCCTACAGTCTAAACTAAACCCAAGCCATGCGCCCGCAACCCTAAAAAGCAAATCGCTGACCGACAATGACACGCAAAAGGGATATAACTGCAGCCGAAAATGTCCAACCCGATTGCCAAACTCCCTATAACCTGGCATGCAGCGGAAACATCTCTAAACGGCCTATCAGCGATGGGCTCCGCAGGTTTTAGCCTTCACACTGCAAAGGCTTTGAGAAAATCCGAAAAGCCACGCCTTTCTATTTGCTAAACTCTTAACAAGCCTTTGTATTGTCCCCTGCAGGAAAAGAACACAATTCAGCTTGTCCCTCCATCCTGAAAAACTAGACCCAATAGTAGCCTAGGAATAAAAAGGGTGCCCTTTTTAGTTTAAAGGGGCTTATCAGGGAACCTGAACCCCCGAAAAGGGAATAAGGGCCTACTCTAGGTCCTAGAAAAACAAAGCAGTAAGCAGAGGCGCTCGTCCCTGGCAGGAACTGTACGACCACCGCCTGCAACTCGGGAGCTCCCCAGAGACTCCAATATCCCTTAATTAAGGAATATATTCCTTAAATCATATTAGGGATCCTACTATAATTTAATTAAGGAATATTCTTAAATCATATTAGGGATCCTACTATAATTTAATTAAGGAATATTCCTTAAATCATATTAGGGATCCTACTATAATTTAATTAAGGAATATTCCTTAAATCATATTAGGGATCCTACTATATAATTAAAGGTATATTCCTTAATTAAGGGATCTTGGAGTCTCTGGGTCAGCACATGGGAGTTGAAGCCAGGCTAGAGCTCGGGATGTGGCAAGCAGCCAGTTTCTCCTGCAGCTCCGTGCAAAAGTGTGCGGCTTTCGGGTTTAGGGTTTAGGGTTTGGGGGTTTAGGGTTTAGGGGTTCAGGGTTTTAGGGTTTAAGGTTTAGGGTTTAAGGGTTCAGGGTTTAGGGTTTAGGGTGGGCATGTTACATTCATTGTAAGGAAGGAACCCGGAGGAATTCTGAGGAATCATACTTGACAGTGCTTATTAAAGTCCCCGTTTTAACCCAACGGCTTGAGAGTCAGACAACTGCACGAGACACGAAGGGAAGAAAATGTGAACGGCTAGCTTCTCCTCTGGAAAAGCCATGGAAACAATGAGAAGCACCTTTCAGGCTTTCATCTGTACGTCTGTCATATATGTACGAGGCCTATGCAGATAACCGCGGCAGATACATGCGCAAGCTTTGTTTAGTTCGCTCAGTAAGGCTACCAGAGGTAGGGTTCCAAGCCTCATGGCCCTACCACCGCGGAATTCTGTTAAAACCCGGAATATTATACATCAACCTGCACCACCGACAAATGAGAGTGTAGACTACACGGTCGTCTTAATGCCCTGCGCCCATGGGGAGTCCCAACCGCAGCACCTGAACCTGGGCCTCGACATTGCTATCCCTACGAACACTCGAGGCCAGCTAAACCTGATAAAAACAAGCCATCCCTTATTCCCAAAACAATCTACTTTTTACACAGGGCTCCAGTGTATGAGTTCCTTATACAAGTCCTTACAGAGGCTTGGAATCAAGGGTCCAGGTTTAAGTGAAAGGGCAGCCAAGCTCTTAGCAATACCAAAGAAGCCGAAATAATTACCAATATCCCTTAGGGTTCCTTACTCTAACTATACTGCAAAGGAATCCGAAAACCCTATTCCAAGTATTAAGGCCCCTACAACAGCTTCCGACCTCCTCTCCAGGGCGCGCTGTATGCTGTGACCGGGCGCTGCCGCTGGTCCTGAAGAGTCTCGTTTAGCTGTCTCTATAGGGATTATAGTAACTCAAAAATTAAACAGGCACTCCTAAGTCGTAAGTGTTGGGATACCTTGAAGCCAGGGTCCTGAGTGTAGAAGTACGGTTAAACATGACCTTAAATAGCAGGAGCCAAGGTTGGCATGCTATTTTAAAGAAACGCCCGCAAAGGATTTCTGCTTCAAGAGGTCAGGCGCTCCAAATGAGCTTTGCGAAGCATTTCGCCCAGGGCACTTAATTCTCAACATCTCCTAAACCGCAAACTGCAGATATAGCTGAGGACTACTGCACGTGCGCACCGCACCCAACCCTAAGCTAAACTGCTGCAGGTCTGAATGTAGCATCTCAAGTAAGTCCAACCAAACCAAGAAATACTCGTTGAGACCTCTCGCATCCTCTCGCTGTGTAGTAGCTACATTTTGCATTCCAGGTGTTCGGACGCTTCAGTGTCTACGAGCGAAGGATTGGGGGCTTCGCAGCCAAGTAAGCAAGTAAGCAATTGAGTATGCATATGTGCGTACATGCGTAACTCTACATGAGTGCACGTGCACGTCTGCTTGTATTTACGCAAGTGTGTACGCACGTATGTATATGTGCATACTATGGTTTACACCCATGCAAGTTCATGGGTCTTGATGTAGCATACCGTCACATTGTGCCATGTAGTTGCTCCAGGCCATGTCATGAAACGTGCTGCAGTGGAATGTGATGTAAATGAGACTGACATGCAAACATGCACGCATGTATAGTTATCACTCCACATACATCCAAAACGAGACGAGGCCGTGCTTGCACCTGTATGTGCCTAAGCGGTTCGCCGCCCAGAGCACTACTGCGCAGTGCCCCTGAGGTCTCTCACCCTAAGACTCCATGTACCCATATTGTAGGTACTTAGGCCTTAGTGGGGTCCCTGTATGGGTACTTGAAGGCCTAAGTACCTACTACATGGGTACATGGAGCCTTCGGGTCAATAGCAGACGAGGAGCGTAGCTCTGTGCACCTGAGCGTCTCGGCCATGGTCTAATTTTGGAACCTGATTAAGCAACCCTGGACCTATAACACCAAAATAGTAGGATTCATATAATGACCCTAGTAAAGGCCCAAGGTTTCTGAATCAGGTTCCTACATTTAAAGGGAACTCCAGAAAGTTGGAATATGGTTTCAGGGTAGGATACCTTATAATTTACCTCAAAGAGTTTAGGATAATAATATTTCAACTTTCTGGCTTTTACTTTAGGGAGTCGAGGGTTCAGGGTTTAGGGCTTCGGGGCCCCTCTTCTCCTCGGGGTCCATCAACGCGAGCCCCAATCTTATGAGGTGAGTCCTTGGTTTCACCGCATAAGCGACCCAAACCAAAGCCCCCGAACAAGGAAGCCTCAAAGCCCGCAATCTTCGGCAAGTTGGCAATTACCTCGACGGCTGTGAAGGCTCGACCCATTTGGAGCAGGCTTCCCTCATCCAGGACAGCACCCGTACGAAGTACTGTAGGGGCCTTGACAATTAGAATAGGGTTTGGGGTATAGTAGGCAGAAATCATAACAAGGAGCCCCCAAAATAGTATTGGTAATTAAGGCCCCTATATTGCACACCTACAAACTTCACGTAATGTTTAGGGCTTAGGGCAGTGCAAACTATTGTAATGTAGGAACGTGATTAAGAAACCCTGGGCCTATAACCCGCAAAGTAGTAGGATCCATACGAAGAACCCTAGTAATTGCCCGAGGTTTCTTCGTCAGGTTCCCACATTTGTCGACAGCCAGGCCACCATATCCGCCATCATTGCGTTGCCTTTTGTTGTCCTTGGCTCACATGCTTGCAAAGGCCAGGAGATCTCAGATCTCAAGGGTCTGTAGGGTTTAGAGTTTATGGGGTTTATATAGGGTTTAGGATATAGGGATTAGGGGCATGTTGCTGTGGGAGACGCCGCACATGCCTGGTTAGAGGGCCATTGAGATTGGGGATCCTGCTATCGCAAAACTCAGCTCGCTTGACTTAGGCTAACTGTTTGATGAGGAACACCCGCAGTCAAAAATATGCTAGCAGCTAAAGATGAATAGTCTCAGGCTCATCCTATGTCGTCGCCACTACGGCTGTCATCACCATGTTGAGAGTTTCAAACCTCAACCCTAAACCGGGCCCAGCGCCGGCGGCTGCAGGAAGCGCAGCACAAGCCCGGATCCGGACGAAACGGTGACAGCGTTGGACTACGACGATCACAGGACGCTCACTACTACCAAAGATCCGGTTCCCGGCGACAAAGAGGCGGAGGAGAATCATCATGATCACCATTTTCGCCAGAATACCAATGCCATATGCCAATCCCATCACCGTCGCTGTCACTACCAGCATGATCAACAGTCAGCAGCATTTAGACCCCTGGCCTTGTGAACGTGCTTACAATTGCATCGTGGCCTTGATACATCTCGCTGATCGAAGGTAGCCTACTTTCAACCGTCGGGCTCCAACATAGCTGCGCCAAAGCCATATCCCACAGCCTCTTTTGCTGCCACAGCAACGCGATCCTCGTGGCCGTACCACGACTGGGCCTGACGCTTCTGCTCCTGGCCGTCTGCTCACGTAGGAAGATGTGACGAGCCTTGAGCGACACACTAACTGGGGGCCTCAATGATATTCTACTACTACAAAAACTCCCACTACTATGAGTACTGCTCCTCCTCCTCCTTCTCGCCCTCCTCCTTCTTCGAAGATTACTACGACATACTGCAACGACTACTACTTCCGCCACCACTAATGTCCACTACCAGTACTACTACTACTACTACTACTACTACTACTACTACTACTACTACTACTACTACTACTACTACTACTACTACTACTACTACTACTACTACTACTACTGCTAATACTACTAGTACTAGTACTAGTACTAGTACTAGTACTAGTACTAGTACTAGTACTAGTACTAGTACTAGTAGTAGTAGTAGTAGTAGTACTACTACTACTACTCCTGCTGCTACTACTAAGTGACTACTACCACTAATACGACTACTACTACTGCTACTACGTACTGCTACTGACCGTACTGCTTTTGAGTGCTACTGCTACGGCTATGGCTACTGCCAGTACTAGTACCACCACCACCACTCGCCGTCCTGCGGCCACCGCTGAGAGCCGGAGCTCGAGCTCGTGCCCCAATTGCCATCGTTCTGGGCACCTGGAGACCAGGTGGAGGGTTTAGGATTTACAGGGCTTATGCTTCAGGGTAACGTTTATGCCAACACTGGGTTCAGGATTTTGTGCTTGACGGTTTTGCCACCTGTCTTCATGAATTTCTTGTCGTCGTTTTTCGTAAAGTCTTCCAGAAACAACACCCCGAACCGACCTCCGTGCTGCCACTTCGGGTATTACAGGGGCCTTCCTAAGGAGAACAGGCCTGGAGGACATGTTGCAGAATACATAGAATACGGAAGCTTAAGGAATGCTTTATGAAATCATGCAAGCTTCCATATTATCAGACTATGCTTCAAAAATTCTCGCAATACCGCCGAATCAGGTGCAGCAAGCCCCGGCAGGCTCACAGCCAAACAAGCGGAACAGGACTGATCTGGGACTCTGCAGGTCATCCTGAGGCCAGACCAAACTTACACCATTTTGCCGTCAGGAAATCAAGACTTCGAGCCTGAATATCTTCAAACCCCAACCCTAAACCCAATGCCCTAAGCCCAAAACCTAAAACCCAAGGCCCAAAGCCATAAAGCCAATGCTCCAAACCCTAAACCCTGAAGGGTTCACGCCTTCGAAGACTGAAAGCCCGCTCCAAGTCCCCCATGAAACCTGCATTGAAAGCAGGCGTCCGTAGAAAAAAAAACCCAACTCAAATGGGATAGGGGCCCGTGTATAGACCCAGAATAATTAGTGAGTTCCTTTAAGTTGGGAAGCCGCCAAACAAATCGTAGTGTTGTGGAGGTCATAATAGTCCGTCGTAATATCGCCATTAGAGTCTCTACAAATCACACTATACTACATAGTCGAAGCACAGTTCTAATTTACGAGGTCCCCAATCCCACAAGCCTTAAATCCTTTCTAGAACAAGAGAACATCTAGGATTTCTCGTGACCCTCATAGAATTGCAGAACCCTTGTTTTACAGCCGTTAAAGGAACCCAAAGGCCCCTTCTGTCAAAGAAATCACACCATGCAGGGCCTCCCCAAGAATCTTGGGACTGATCGGTCGACTGCCACGTCCTCAGCCCATAGGGCTGGTAAGGCGTTTTAGAGTTTCGGCGCTCGCAGGTTGTAGGGCTGTTCAATCTGCAGGGGCTTAGGGATTCAGGAATTTTGAGGATTCAGGGAGTGAAGGCTTAAGGCGGTTCGGGTTTAGGGCTATAGGGTTTTGGGAGTGGTGGTTTTAGGGTGGGCTTTAGGATATTCTGGTTTGGGTTGTCAAGGGTTTAACGTCTTCTTTGAGTTTTTAGGGTTTTTCGATTTCGGATTTCAGGATGTAAGGCTTCAAATCTTGAGGGTCTATAAGGGTTTAGATGCTTTTCTGTAACTAGAGTAGGCGTTGGGGCTTTAGGGTTTGAGGGTTTAGGGTCCATGGATTCTAGAAGTTTGGGTTTAGGAGATCAAGATTTAAATTGAAACTGTAGGGCGTTGGATGTGGGTCTCGGGTTCGGGTTGCTGGGGCTCTCCCACTCGGACTGCATCAGGTGAGTCAAAGGGGAAAGGGAGGGACCCTTAATGGGGACCCCTACCCTATAATGGGCCAATATAATGGGTATATATACTATATTAAGGCTATATACCTAGGGGTCCTTATTAGGGGTCCCTCCTTTTACCCTTTGAGTGAGGCTTCCGGAGCGGAAGGCCGCAACAAGCAGCAACACTTACGTACATTGGAGCACCTGGCCACACTTGTTTTGGCACAGCCCCAATATGAAACAAACGGGTTCCTCCGAAAATGGGGGACCCTAATATAGTACCTTAAATAGCAGGATCCATATTATCCCCCCTGTAGTCTCCAACAGAAACCCAAGCTTCGCACTCCTTTCTGCTTTGCCCCAACACACGCTCAGTCTATGACATTTAGCAGTTGAACAATACGTGATACTGATATTAATACTACTAATACGACTACTAAGACTAAAACCAAAACGAAGATTAAGACTAAGACTAAGTCTAAGACAAATACTCTTCTGCTAATACTACTACTAAGACTAAAACTAATGCTAAAACTAATACGACTACTCAGACTAACACGAATACTAACAGCAATGCAGAAGATCTTGGTGATGGTTTTTCTGGGATCAGCCCGAAACTCGGCCAAGCTGAGCTCCTGGCGCCTGCTTCTTGTTGCCGCCTCCACCACCCCAGCTCTTCCTCGTCCGTTGGCTGTAAAGGGGTTTAGTACTTCAGGGTCTGGGATCGTGGGGTTGAGGGTCTGGGGTTTAAGTATTTAGTATTTAAAGACTTCAGGGTTTGGGATTTTGGGGTTTAGGGTCTGGGGTTTTAAGTATTTTGTATTTAAAGGTTTGGGGTTTTGGGGTTCGGAGCAAAGGGTCGGCTTCAGGGTTGCTTCCTGCTACGATTCGGCCGGTGCAGAACTGCGACCACCGCATGTCTTTGGCAACGTAACTCCAAGACTCCGAAGTCCCAAATCCTCAACTGAGCAGTGGTTTTGGGGTTCCCTTGGCTCTTTAGCTCCTTGTTTACTAGGGACTATCATCACCCCTGGCTCCTTAGCTCCTCCGATATCAATGGTTAGTCAACCCCAAAATATATTTTTCTATAACCCTGAGACCTTCAGACTTCAAGAAAACAGAAACATCGTGGCGATCTGCCTCCGGATCCTAAACTCTCAACTACACCCTAAACCCTTAACATCACAAAGCCCTAAACCCTAAACCCTGAACCCTAAACCCTAAACCGGCTGACTGGCTCTGTTCCGCCGAAGACGCTGGTCGTTGTTGTTACTTCCCCACTGGCCGCCACCACCAGAGTCGCCCTGGTTCCAGTCCTAAGTCCACGGTTTAGGGTTTAGGGGTTTAGGGTTTAGGGTTCAGGGTTTAGGGTACAGGGTTCCAGATCAATTTAATCTAGGGGCCTCTAGAATTTTCGAGTCGGGTTTTGGGTGTCTTAGCGAATTCTGCTGAAATTACACAGGGACATGCATGCGCCTTGCTGCCGGCTGCTAGTTGGGGCTTTCCAATCCAGACCGCTTGTTATGGGATGCAGGCTTCCTGCTACAACCTGCCAGGCATTCCATGCTCGCTGCTGCCACGAGAGCCTCACGGAACCATTCAAACGCTTACAGACTTACATGCAGATTTGAAGTCAGGACTAGGGCTTGCACATTTAGGGCCGAGGGGATGTGGGTTAGCGCAGTAGACATTTCCGGACGTGAGGGTTAGAGTTTAGGCGTTGATGGCTTTCATACAAGACTGAGGATTGCCATGTTCAAGTCAGCGACAACTTCTCAGAACGGTCCTGCATTAAGCCAGACAAGGTCCTCAGCCCGACATGAGATTAGGGTTCAGCGTTCCAAGTAGGGTTTGCAGTTGAGGGTTTAGACCCGGCATTCCGGGCCACGACACCTAGGCTTACGCCTCAAAACTTCTTGTTCTTAACCCCAAACCCTAAACCCTAAACCCCAAACCCTAAACCCTAAACCCCAAATCGCCTTTACAGTTGGCAAGGTTCCTGCTTCTTCTGCCAAGACTGCTTCTGGTTGCCACCCTGGTCCCACTGGTCCTTCTTCCAGTCCTCTCCAAAAAAAGGGAGCGACGGTGTGCAAGTGCATTTAGGGTGCATGTGTTCGGGGTTGTTGATTGGAGGTTAGGGCATCAGACAAGAAAGTGCTGAACACCAACCCCCGAAGTATTTAGTGCAGCGCTATAAGAATCAGAAAATGGGGGAGATGAGCAGCAGGATCCCAGATTGACACCTACTAAATGCTTCTTCGTTCTACCTGCTTTCGAACCATAGGAAAGCAGCTGCAGCGACGAGGCTCAAGTCCAACCGGTTCCACACAAAGCCTTCTGGCCTGAAACTCCAAGCAAGCCTAAATCCTAGTCCGGACTCGCAGCATCGATCCCCGACAGGCCATGAAATCTCGCCTGACCCACGTCGGTAGTCGTTGTTCTGACATTTGTTGCAAGCCTCATATATGCGACCACGGTAGCCTATTTTGCCCAAGTTCTCCAGCCACGAGGCTAGGGAACCACGACAGCATCAGGTCCAGAAACTGTCCTGCTGCTTTTGGCCTCCGCCACTCCAGTCGTCTTTCTTGTCCCAGCTGTCCTGACGGTTCAAACCCTAAACCCTTTTTGCTACTTATTGGACTTAAGTCTAGCTGGCTACGACCCGCAATCATCTTCACCGAGGCCGACATGCAAACCCTAAACCCCTAAACCCTAAACCGGGTTGTAAGCTTATGTCACACGCACTCTCATGCATAAGGGGATGCGGCGCCTTGGGGCTTCTTGTTGGGGCCTCTATAGTTATAATAGGATTTGGGGTTATGTTGTACAATGATTATTATCAGGAACCCCAAAACCCCATTCTATTTAACTGTCAGTGCACAGCCATTTCAAATTTCGGCAGAAAACATCCAGGGTCAGAGAAAGCCCACTCCGAATGGGTGGTCAATTCGGGATAAGACTACCCACGGGGTTGTCACAACCAGGAAATGTTCAAGCAGTCAGAGCAATCATACAGAATCATACAAAGGCAGCAATAATTAGAAGTGCTAGTCAGAACTTCAGGACGTACTGAGAGTCGAAGGTTGGGGACACCTAGATGCAGCCACCACCCATGCACTCGAACATGACGCACCAATGTCGAAAGCATGCCTCTATGTGCCGCAGGCAGAAGCACTCATCGATTCGGCAGATCATGAACACATCAGAAAAAACACAACATACCCACTCACTTGCCCCAACGAAGTGGCAGACGGTACGAAAAAAGTGACACGGCAACAGCTGCAAGATGTTACTGTAGATTGAATCCTGAATCGAGCGTTGGCCCTCATGTTGCACGCTTTGTCAAACGTTTCGCTGACTGGGACTAGGAATGACGACCAGTCAGCGCCGACACCGAAGTGCGAACGAACGCTTCACAGCACCAGAAAGTGGAGAGTATGCACGAATCTGATTGTGAAATCATGAGCCTATAAACCCAAAACATTATGGTTCATGAGAAGGCCAGGATATCGAGACAAAGTTAACTTTCGTTGCAGATCTTGCCTTCTTCCCCCATTCCTGCTTCTGGCCACCCCAGTCGTCTTTGCTGCCACGCGCCTACGCGGTAGTGATGGAGACGGAATCACGACAGTCCGAACCCTGCTGGACGATCATGGGATCATAGCTGATTTGGGGGTTCAGGTTTAGGGGCTTAGTGGTTACGGGTGTCAGGGACTGCAAACCCTATAGCCCTTGCATTTAGTTCACCGTCGCGCCTGGTCGTTCTTCCAATCGTCCTTCCCTCCGCTCTTCCAATCGTCCTTGCCTCCACTCTTCCAGTCATCCTTTCCACCGCTTTTCCAGTCGTCCTTTCCTCCATTTTTCCAATCGTCCTTTCCTCCACTGTTCCAATCATCTTTGCCGCCGCTTTTCCAGTCATCTTTGCCGCCGCTTTTCCAGTCCTGTATTGGGCAGGACTTCAGAATGGTTTACCATAGTCTACCATTCACCACGTCGGAGAATACCTCCTGCACACCATGAGGTCTGAACACACTCTAAACCATGAGTCCTGTCGCAACTACTAACAGCAATGTTGTTCTCTGTAGTTCCCAGTTGTCGGGGTTCTCGGGGATACTAACGGTTAACTTTGGGGTGAAATACCGGTACAGTATGAGGTATATATAGTACCCCAACAAGGCTCAAGGATACCTACTCCATTACTGCATATTGCTTTTCTTGATGCTAGAGCTTTGCAAGGGCATGCCTAATGGCGCATGTCAAGCGCAAGCGGCGATTACGACGTGGGGTTTCGAGTACATATATAGGTCGGGTTTAGGGTTTATAAGGTGTTTGTAAGGTTTCGCTGCTAGGGCTTTATGGAATTATGCGCAGACTAGAGATAGTCAGGGAGACGTGTACATATGACCAGCAACTCAACAAGACCACAGGAAAACGTAATTCACGAGACGATGGAGACCAACCAACCTGTCTAAGAAAAACAACTGAAAGACTGGACGAATGATGTGGGAACCTGACTAAGAAACCTTGGGCCTTTACTAGGGTTCCTTATATGAACCCTATTATTTTGGGGTTATAGGGCCAGGGTTTCTTAATCAGGTTCCTGCCTTAGCTAGTTTCGACACCCTGAACCCTGCAGACATAGATGGTGCGCCATGATTCTGGTAGAGCTTAGAAGCTGCCCCCACCCTGTAATAGTGACTATAAGGATTATATTAGGGCCCTATTATATTCCTATTATACCACTATTACTGGGTGGGGGCCCCTTCTAAGGTAGAGCCGAGGACGGCGCGCCAAAAAACAGGAAGCCCTCAGCCCATACACTCGAAGCCGGAACATCCTATAACAGCCCTAAGATGCCCTAAATATATCTAGCCCTAAGATGCCCTAAAAGATTCTAGCCCTAAGATGCCCTGAATATCTCTAGCCCTAAGATGCCCTAAATATCTCTAAACCTGCAAATGACCTGAACTTCCAATATTCTAGAGTCCTGTTTCTTGTTGTCATTCCACCCGCCGGAATCTTTGGACCACTTGTCATCACCCCTGAGAGGCAATAATTCATCGGGGTTACACCGGGTTGGGGCCCCATTATACAAGGGCACTTATATGGGATATCCACCATTTTGCATATTTTGCTTATGTGATTTTGTGGGGCCGTTCATGAATGGTATCGCATGGCCTGTCAAAAGGGTCAAGGGTTTTCTGCCCAAGGTTCAGGGATTGGGCTTCAGGCTTCAAGGGTTTCGGGGTGTAGAGTTGGGCAGAGGCTGTCAAGGCTGTGCGGCTCAGACGGTTTCAAGGCTGTGGAGATTGGACTTCTCATGCAAGGCTCTATCATACCTATTCCTGCAATGCAACGTTGATTGCAATTCCAATTGTACATCATTGAAACATAGCTACCTTCTTATAGCCGGGTTCCCAGCACAGCTTCGGCGCCTTGCAAGAAAGTTACAACAAGCCAGAGGACAAGACAATCAGCTTGCAAGTAGCCGAGATTCTCCTATACTGAACTTAGAACCCTAGCAACAACTATAATTTTAGCTGTTTCTGAGGGATTATAATAACCAAAAACGAAAAAATATTTCTAAGTACCCCTAATAAGTCTCGACCAGCTAAACCCTAAACCCCTGAATCTCCTAAAATCCTGCAGCCTGAGCCTATTTTGCACAGACTTGTGTATGCCCTGAATATCCTAAATCCTAAACCCTAAATTTAGGCCCCAAATCTCGCTAAACCTTAAACCCCGACATATCCGTAAATGACCCTAAACCCCCTAAATATCCCTAAATCCTGTCAGGCAACTGGTTCGAGTCCCATTTCTTCTTGCCTCGGCTGCAGGAGCTTCCTTGGGGCCATTTCGGCTTTGGACCTCCCTTGCGCGGTTTGCCCTAGCCCTCCGAAGTTAGGGTTCCTTTAAAGGAGTCTAGAAGGGCTAGTTTCAGGGATCTGTAAGGGTAGGGGCCTTAATCATTAGAATAGGGTTTGGGGGGCTCACTATACGATATTTATCATAAGGAGCCCCTAAAATTAACCCTCCCAAAAACCCTTTTGGAATCCGGGCTTGGGAAGTCGGCCGAAAAAAGTCTTTTGTCTCCCAAGATTTCTTTGCCTCTGAAAACCCCACTCTCTTACTGCCATGTACAAGGAGAGGTCACTACTAAGACAATGAAATGTTACACATAAGGAGAGGTCACTACAAGGACTTGTAGGTTTTTAAGGATATCTGCGTCTGTGGCAGACAACAAGGCACCCCCTGACTGAAAAGACTGCGGCTGCTTATGTAATTGGTGCCTCCTCGTCTGCTCGTGCATCCGCGCACTGTCTGCATCGACCCCAACAAGGCACCGGAAAAGACTTCTCAGTGCCCGTCCAGATCTCAGGCCGTGCACGGCCAAACTCTGCAGACATTCCAGTAGGCACCAGAAAACCATCCCAGAAACGGTATACGGCATAGCCTAGCCGCAGCCTTAATGATTAGAATGGGGTTTGGGATGGTTTCGAGCGCAGCCTGTACTAGATACGCGCGTTACGCCGAAAAACAAATGCAATACATTTTCAAGTAGATTCGGGCGCAAAAGCCTCCACTACCAAGGGGGGCAAACAACCGCAACCTTGATCTCCGGAAACCCTTGTGAGCCCCCTAAACCCTAAACTGTAAACCGTGGATTCAGGATGATTAGTGATTTGTGCTGGGGTTCCCTATACTCTACCATAATGATGTCCCATCTTTCTCGCTTCTAATCTACACCCCACACCCCCAAACCGTGAACCCCAGGCCCTTTCTAATCTGGAGCCTAACACCCCAAGTTATAAATGTCGGGGTGCCAGAGTTCCCGTTGTCCCAGGAGGAGCTTGCCTGCTGCTTAGGACTTCGTTTTGTTTGGTTTTCGCCTGGCTTGGGTTATGCCAGCATTGCAAAGTGGTCAAAAGAGGAAGGTTCAAGCTATTCAAGCCCCATTTTCGGGGTGTCTGCTGTTCAGGCAGGTGTAAGGTTCAGAGTTAAGGGATGTATTTCGGAGCTTGGGGATCGTGGGCTTCGTGGTTCAACGGTGTGTAGACATTCTCGCGTGCGACCCAAGGATTTCGGAAGTCAGGGCAATGTCAACCTCCGGATCGAGTGCTGCGAGCCAGGAACCCAGAGACTCCAATATTCCTTAATTAAGGAATATACCTTAAATTATAGTAGGATCCCTAATATGATTTAAGGTATATTCCTTAATTAAGGGATATTGGAGTCTCACTCGCCATGAAGGTGCAAAGTCCAAAGCCAAAACGTACCATGACTACATGCTTACCCACAGGCTCCATAGTATTTCCTTTTGGGATTTCCTTATCGGATTTTAAATATGAACCCCAAAAGGGAACTACTATGGAGCCTCTGGGTAACCCCGACAGCCAAACAGGGAAGGAAACAATCTTCAAAGTCCGAAGCCTTCGGCTGCAAGGCCAGAACGACACAAACAGGGCTGTCAGCCTCAAAGAGGCTGTAAATATTTATAGCACTGACTTTTGCCTTGCTAAATGCAAGTACGATGTAGCATGTAAGGCATAGGTTCTGTCTGAGCCTCCCGTCAGTTTTCTATAAAACGCCAGCCGAACAAGAACCCTCTGAGGCGCCGAATCCTGCACGACAGTTAGGGTTTACGCTTCTTGGTAGACAGCTAGACTTGCGACACGTCTCGAAAGACATCCTCCGGTAAGCTGGAACGATGCAGAGAAGATTAGCGAGGCCCCCACTTGGGTGCTGAGGGCTTTTCGGGAAGTGGCAGCTCTGGCGGTGCCTTGTTGTCCCAGTCGTTCTTCTTCTCCTTGTCCCAACCTCCTCCTCCGCCTGCAGAGCGGTTTGCGGTACGGCTCCAGCAGGTTTCAAAGTACGGCTTACTGGGGTTCCAATGAATAAAAGCTTTAGAGGTAGAAGGCTTTCGGGCTTTAGAGGTTGAAGGGTACGGGTTCATGCCTGGAGTTTGTAAATGGGGTCAATGATTCAAACTCTCGGCCAGATCACCTGGCTCTCGACCTTCTACATGCTTCTTCGGGATCCACATAGATGCAAGCTATGCTGGTCGGTCGAGTTGTGCAAATAGATGTGTGTTCTGCCTGTCTGTCTGTCTGTCCGTCTCTGTCTGTGTGTCTGTCTGCCTGGCTCTCTGTCTTTCTGTCTGTATGATAGTATGCCTGCACGCATGTATCTATCCTCAATCTTTCCGTGCCTATCTCTATCTATTATGTGACTCTAGCTTAACACTCTATCTCCATCTTCACCTCTAAGGCATTGCCCATACACGCATGTATAAGCTCGGGATTGTTAGAATTGAAGAAGTAGTGCAGTTGAATGAGTTCTACAAATGTGGACCGGCCTTCCTACAGGATGATTTGCTTTCCCCGTGATCACCCGCGCACATGCAAGCCCCTGACTAAATCTCTGAAGCCCGCGCCTTAGACACCCCAAACTAGACATATATGTCTATGTTGGTTACATATATGTCTGTATGTATGTATGTATATGAACAGATTTGTATATATATATATATATATATGTATGTATATATGTGTGTGTGTGTCTTTTCGAGAGTCTGAGGCCTGCTGGCAGTAAACCCTTATAAACTTGAGACGTTTTACGGTAGTCCCCGAGCCCCTAACCCCCCTAAGCCCCTTCCCATGCTTGGGGGCCCGGAGCACTGCAAACCGAGAACAGCAAAAACCTAAAGTCCTGCTTGAAGCTGATGGCACATCGGCAATTATGAGCAGGCTCATTGGGTCCCTGAACCTACCCGCGAGAAGTGCAGTATGTGGGTGTCAAGTTGGGGGGTGTCAGATTTCAGAAGCTTGAGCTTGGATGGAACTAAGAAGAGACACGCAACCAACCCACGCTTTACAAGTGATGGGTTCTCTTTCAAACGGTGCCATGATTGAAACAACCCCCACCCGCAGAGCCCAATGCATGTTGCGGAATTCGTACACCATACTGCGCTTGGAAAGTCAACAAAATCTGACATAAGACATTATCTAAAGCATTTGCTATATCTACGGCATATTCGGCTCTTTGGTCCCCGACTGCAAATCTTTAGGCCTGAGCCCTTGTCCCAGCTTTTGTCATTCCAATCGTTCCTTGGTCTTATACAGCGGAAGAAGCCCAAAAGTTGGAAACCCCATAGCCTCAATCCTTAACAGTAATGTGTAGGGAATCCCAGCACTATTTGGCCTGAATCCGGTTTCCGACCTTCTGTGGTTTTCTGTACAGGGCCGTGCAATGTTGAAGGGTTGTGGGGTGCAAGTTCCTCCTGGCTAAGGCCCCCACGTCCCGCCAGTCCACAGCACTTGCTTCCACAGCCAACGCCACCAAAACCAAGAATTCAGTGATACAGCCCGACCAGCAAGCGCCCCTATCTCACTGAAACATCCAAGGTCCTAGCTCACAGGAACTCACTTGAAGGAAAGCCGTTCCACATGCCGTGGGAATGTCTTAAACGAAGGTACTCTTCGTGCATGAACTTCTTTGAAAGGTGTTGCCACAAGAACAGGCATACACGGCTGATCTTTGCTTCATACGATTAGATATACGATACGATGCTTGATAATGTTGTAAACACTGACACTGCAGAAAGCCGTCGAACGTCATAATCAAGGCAAGCGTCTTCTCCTCCTTGCCCCAAGATCCTGCGTATAGGCAGGAAGACAAAAAAAGATCATCAATAAGATTAAGAAACCCAACTATCCTGCAGAAGTGCAACCATGCAGGGAGTCCTTCATTGTATAAGACTTGCACAGAGTCGTACTTACATTCACTTTGAATTCCTCTTCACCACAAGCAACATCACCAGAAAAAATTCTCATCATCGCCCCCGGCCAGAGTCCTCACCATCTTTCTTCCAGTTCTGTGGTGCTGCTACCGCTACTGCTGAGGCTGTGAAACACGTTGAGGTAGCCATTTTGTTGTTGCTGCTAGCTAGTGGCTGTTCCCTGCAGTCACTACCATCATCATAGCCACGAGTTCACGTGTCGAACGCCCAGATATCCAACAGCAGCGTGGAGGGAAAAGCTCTTGACCGTATATCCCGTAAGGCCTAGAACTACCAGATTACCCCTGCAGCACGCTGGACAACACACCAACAAGACTGATATTTCGATCACAGCATGAGTAGCAATGGTTCACTCGGCTCGGACCCTCTCAGAAGTGAGGCAGAGAGTGCAATGCTTCAGCTCCTGACTAGCCGAGGCTTGTACTAATCCCGGTTGAGGCAACTGCATGACCCAGCTGAAGACAATCACATTTAGACTTAATCACCTGATAAATCCGGAAGAAACAGGAACCCTAAACCCTAAACAGACTCACCCATATCCTTTGTCGTTGGACCAATCATCCTTCTTCTTCCTGGTATCGGACGAAGTAATCGTGGCGGGCCAAGGGGCGCAGGAGTTCGGGGGTACAAAAGTAAAGACTTAAATGCGAAGTCTACAAATCCAACTGCTCTGCAGTACAAATCGGGCAGCGGACGGGTGCCTGCACATGATTTCAACAGATGTTGGAACATTCCGCAGCCACACCGGCAAAAACTCAAAGAATTTTGCAACCTCGGTTTAAGCAGACATTTGGGAAAGGTTGGCAGTATCATACTGCAATGGAAGCCGGAAACCACGTGGAGCTCATGTGCCGCAGTATGTCAAAGCTCTGTACCTGATTGACCCCCCCGTCTCGCCGAAACACGAATATGACCCGCTAATCCCAACAGCGAGTCGGATCACTGAAGATCATGCCGCCAGAGAAAAGAGTGAAACAAATATGTTGCTACGAGTTCTGTGCAACATACGAACACTGCATGACGTACACATGCTACATTTGAAATACTTAGCACGAAGCACAACTTTTTCAGCGCTGTCATATCGGACATTGTACACAACGAAGCCTGGTCCCAATCACAGGGGGCCGGCAAACTTTGCCAAGAACCCCCGTAAGTTCCGAGAGCTACAAGTAAGCTCCAATGAACCTCCTTTAGAGCTCCTCAAAAAAATCTTGTAGCAAGCTGCATAGTTCCCCTGAAGGGCTCCTTAAAAAAGGGTTCCATAAAGGCTACTACAGGGGTTGCTGCAGGGCCTGAATAATTCGAAAAGAGTTCCTGTCCGAGTCGCCCTGATGACCCGGAGCCCTTATAGATCCCTTAAAGGAACCCCTTAGGAACCCTTACAATCCCTACTATAGGAGCCCTTATAGATCCCTAAAAGGAACCCCTTAGGAACCCTTACAATCCCTACTATAGGAGCCCTTATAGATCCCTAAAAGGAACCCCTGAGGAACCCTTACAATCCCTACTATAGGAGCCCTTATAGATCCCTAAAAGGAACCCCTGAGGAACCCTTATAATCCCTACTATAGGAGCCCTTTTAGATCCCTTAACGGAACCCCTGAGGAACCTTATAATCCCTATGCCCTAAACCTAATCCCTATAGTAAACCCTCATGGAACCCAAAAGGGCTGGCCCTATGTTGAATGCCGCGGAAGCCACTTGTTGTCCCAACTCTGGTCCCCTTCGTCTTCCCACTTTCTCTTCTTATCCTCGGGAACTGGTCTGGTGACTCGGCGTCCGGATTAAAGGCCTTGATATCTTCAAGGTTTAGGACTTTTAGGGCTTTGATGGGGTTTAGGGTAGGGTTTTTCCCTCCTGCCTAGCAAGGACCAAACCCGCATTGCAGGGAATCTAGAGTAGGCTTTAGGGTTCAGGGTTTAGGGTTTTGGGGCTTTGAGTGCTTTTAGGTTTAGGGTTTAGGGTTTAGGGTTTAGGGTTTTCCGTCTGGCTTTCGGTTTGACAGGAAGCTGTCGCTTGAGGTTCGCAGCCAGGGGCCGAGGGCGGCTTGTCATGGAATGAGGGTTCCTACACGGTTTAAGGGCTGCTTGGAGGGTCAGGGGACTTAGTAAGTAGGTAGTAAGTAGACTTATAAGTACCCTAAAAGGGAACCTAATTGGGGTAATGGTACTTATACGTCTATAAAATAACCAGCTACTAAGTCCCCCGACCCTCCAAGTACGGGTTTCTGTGGCTTTTGTACCCATAATATGCCTCTAAGTCCTGGACGGTTCCACTGCGTCTACGTCTCCGTCCCACGGTATGAACCTGAACTGCCAGGCTGACGCTGGCGGCTTTAGGACTTGAGGCTTCGTAGCTTCAAATTTTAGTTGAGGATAATTAAGCCAAACACCAATCGGTGCCCTAACCCTCAAACCGATGCCGGGCCGGGGACATCGTTCCAGCTCTCGTTTTGATCGTCGCCTTGGTTCTCGTCTGCCTCCGCGCAAAGTTGGGTACAAACCCGTGGTAATATGTCCAAAAGTATTTTCATGCTTATCTAACAACATACCAGCAAAACCTATCATAATTATCGCCCAAGGCTCGCCATCTCTCTTCTAACGGGTTAGCAATGCCCCGATACTATAGGGCTGAGGTCTGAGGAACACCGACATGCAAGAAGGCCTCGAGCTCTAAACAAGAGGTGTCAAGTTCTAAATCTAGAATCTCATGGACCCTTTTTGCGTGTGATGGACCCTCAGCCCCTAAACAATAAGCCCTGAACCCTGAACTCAACCCGCTGGGTTCAATGGACAAGCTTTGACCGGTCAGGCGTTCCTCCACACGCCACGACATGGCAGGACTACTTACAGTAGAAGCCAGAAAGTTGGACTATTATCCTAACCCTTCTATGGTAAATTATAGGGTATCCTACCCTGAAACCATATTCCAACTTTCTGGAGTTCCCTTTAAGCAAACCGAACCGGGACCTTCCTTGAGTAGCGTCTGAGGATATAGGCCTCTGAGGTTCAGGCTTCTGGGCTTCCGTGTGGGGGCCTATGTCTTTAGTTTCTTCGCCGCCCACAGAACCAGAATAAAAAATGTATTCTTATTAACCCCCTGAAGTTCTGTTATGAGAAAAATAAAACATAATTCGTAAGAGCATAAAAGGCTAGCTTCCAGTTTAGAAAAAGCTTAGGTTAGGATCCAGGAAAAAACGAACAGCTGCCGCCTGCCAGGACTCTTCCTCTGGTGGTGGCTCCACATCCTTGAGGAATTTGGATCTGCTGGCTTCGGGCTTGTACTTGCTACTCTACTGGAGGTCCTTGGGCTCGCTTATTTTTGTTTAAGGAGGGCTTGCAAATTAACTTGCTGAAGCTTTAGCAGGTGAAGGTGGAGTTGGGTCTTGAGCCCCGTGTGACTACCGGTCTGCCTCCTGATTTCTCCAAGTTCGTGTACAGTAAACCTCATAAAGTTGGAAACCCGATTAAGGCCAAATAGTGCTGGGACTCCCTATACATTAATTTACTCTTAACTTAAGGATTCAGGCTATGGGGTTTCCAACTGTTGGGCTTCTACTGTGTGTCTCGTGCCCCGACTCAAGGCTAGGGTCATTTTCAATCATCGCCCCAAGCCGGTAAGCCGATTCTACTAAAGGGAACTCCAGAAAGTTGGAATATGGATTAATGGTAGGATCCCCTATAATTTACCTTAAAGGGTTACGATAATGATATTCCAACTTTCTGGCTTCTACTGTAACGGGATTTCTTCATCAGGGGTCGACATACCGAGCACCCATCCCCAAGGCGAAGCCCTCAGCCATCCGCCCTAAAACCCCGAAGCACTTGACATAAAATACAACCTGTAAGCCGACATCAACTATAATACTCCATAGTCTACACCGTCTATACCCGTGATCATTGATAGTCAAGCATAGGGATCGGTTCATGACTTATGGGGTTTTCAGGCCTGAGACTTAAGACTCGAAAGCACCTGACGCTCAAAGCCAAAACCCCTCTTGGTTGAACCTACTGAGACCGAGGCACGAGACGGGGGAGACAGCTCACAACAAGGATGCAACCCCAAAACATAAAAAAACTCGAGTTTATGGGCCTGGGTTTTGCACGTCGGCCCGGTTGAATTCAAGCCCTATTCGAGAGACCCATGAGCCCTACAGCCACATACACCGGTGCAAACAAAACTATCAGCGGAAGGGGCTTGCAGCTCTTTCACCATCTCCATGGCAGAATGCCGGCGCTCGGCATCCCAACCTCAAGGGTGCTTTCTTAATCAGGCCTTTAGCAGTCAAGGGGCTTAGGTTGGCGTTTTGGAGTTTTGAGGGGCGAGCTTCGGGAGTTCGGGGGTAAGGGGCTCACAGTGAAGAGTTTGAGGCTTCGTGGCGGCGACTCTAGGTTTTTGAGCCTTGGGGTTTTAGCGGTTTCGGCTTTCGGCGATTAGGCCTCAGGGTTTGGGACTCTAGCGCTCACACTCGGACAGGGTTAGGGCTTAGGGGCTTCAGGGGTTTAGCCTAAACCGTTTCGGGCTTGGGGTTCAGGGTATGCTGCTGTTTGGGGGTTACAAGGTTTAGTGTACAGTACACGTTTCGGCCATTGGTAAAGACTTTAGAATCCATACGTTCGTAGACGATACATACCTTCTGCTGGATTTGTCAACAAGTCACGCTGCGAGAAGGGACGGCGTGGATCTTCGCTAAGCTCCGGAACAGTTTCACCCTGGAGTTGTTTGGGCTGGACTCTGGCACCCCAAATTGACGCCGCAGTAGGACGAAAGTTTGACCTCCGCGTTCGACAGTGGCACCCGCCACGCCAGAGCCGAATCTTCAGTCTGTCAGCTATGAGACTGTGAGCACGTCGTGCTTTGCCGGACTTGAGCATTTCCAGCGTTTTAGTCTGCACCATAAGAATATCGGAGCATCAAGAACCAGCGATGTTGCCGTTCCTGGAAGCAGAGCAACCCGGAATCAAATGACGATATAGCTCCCCAAAGTATAGGACGGGTGGAATGTGGTGTGTGAAACATCTAATCACTATTGCTCCAGGCTTCTTCGGAAGCATATTTCAGCTATCGGCCGTACTTTCGTCTAGCATTCCGGCTCGTTCTAGACTGTGTGGTTTCGTGCTTAAGGTAAAAGCCAGAAAGTTGGAATATGATTATCCTAACCCTTCTATGGTAAATTATGGGGTATCCTACCATGAAACCATATTCCAACTTTCTGGAGTCCCCTTTAAGAACGTAAGGAATGGAAAGCCCTCGGGCCTCGACAGGCTCAGATTCCGCGGTGCTTGTGAGGTATGTAGACCGCATGCAAATCATAAATCTCCGAAAGCACATGAAAGGGCTCCTTAAAGAGATCCATAAGGGTCCTATAGAATCTTCCAGGGTTCATTAAAAAGTTGCGTCAAGCAGGCCGGGAGCCAAAACCACCGAGAGCCCCACTCAGCACGTTCAGGCGAACGCTGTCTTCCACTTCGGTGGCCGCATCGTCGAAGAAGGCGACCACACCATGTTTGTCGGCGACCTCTCTCATTAGCGGCTGGAAGTTCAGGACTTTATCTTCACTCCACAGACAGCACGACTGCACTGCCAAACTATGCAGAATGCCTCTTCAGAATGACCACGAGAAGACGCCGAGACAAAGAGAAGTCTGTCTCTCTGTCTCTCTCTCACACAGACGATGAAACATCTACTTGAAGAAGCCCATGACGGATGGCACATATATGTGCATACGCATGCATCCGCGGATATGTTAGGTACTATGGCGGGATGTATCCGTCCCCCAAACTCTACCGTGCATTCATGTCCGATGCCTGACATGAAGCAAACATTGTGCTGCGAGCTTTCTCACATTCAAAGCATGTGCTGTGCTATACACCACCGAACAGGACATGACACATATTATCCTTTTGTGGCATTCTCTGGTGCACTACAAAAAAGTGTGTACGCATCTTCTACATACATGCAAACCGAAAGACCGACAGATAGGTAGACATATGTACATACATGTGATTGGATACGCTTTTCTCTCGTGCTTTGCTTGCATACATACTTATTTGATCACCTGCAACCCAGAAAACTCCATGTGGAGCCCGCTGAAACCCTGCTGGCCAAGTCCCAGGCCGTGGCCAAAACCCGAGCAGGAAGGTTCTTCTGCTTCTCCTCACGGTTGCAACCCAAGCGACCATGCGCTAATATACAACACGTGGCAAGTGCGAATATGATTCTGCACGTTTCCGAATAGCCCGCAGCTTAGGATGACTTGACTGCCCGTGACAGTCAATGGTCCTTGTCGATGAATAGGTTGGACACATAGATGTCCTCGATGGTATCGACCTCTCAAACAGCACTTTCGACGGCAGCAAGTTCAACAGATAGTCGGAGCAAAAGCATTATTGAGACGGTTGACACGCTTTTGCAGTTTACTAGCATCAGTTTTGCCAATGCTAGCATGCTACAGTTAATGCTAGCAGCCCGCCATTAAGGCTTTGCAAGCCCACTTCCACGCAGCAAGCGAAGTCGTGGCCTCGTACATGTAGGTACAGCCAAGCTTTCAACACAACCAACACCGCCATCATTGCTTTCGAGTTCGACCTAAATACCCTATAACCTTAGGAACCTTACATATACATGCCAAAATACAGTATGCACCCCGAAACCACTGTCTAAACCTTAATAAACTACATCCTTGGATCCTCCCCACCCCCCCTCTGGTACCTCAGTGGCCACCTGCGCTTCAGTGGAGGCGGCATTTGTGACGAGACCCGGGTCTGTCAAGAAAGGCCTGGCGACTCTTTCTATCAGTTTACTATTGGTATTATTCAAGGACTTATACACAGCGCCATGTTTGTTGGGGTGGATGCAAGCCCGTTTTCGGCTTGATGACTTGAGCTGAGGCCTACCTCTGTGGCGGGCTTCTAGGATTCGTTGATATACGGAATGATAGGGGCCTTAATAATTCGAATAGGGTTTTGGGGTATATACGACTACATTGTACACACACACACACATACACACACACACACACACACACACACACACACTGTGAGCCTTCGGCGCAAAAATCAGATGCCTTGTCAAACGACTTCACCTGGCAAAATGCAAATTTCATGCCAGCCGTGCCCCCCCCCCCCCCCGGCTCTGTCAAAACATGCCAGGCACACCTTGCCATTGATGCTACCACAATTATTGATGCTACCGCAAATCATGCTACCACAATTGATGCTACCACAATTGTTGCTACCACTTTTGTTGCTACCACAATTGTTGCTACCACAATTGATGCTACCACAATTGATGCCACCGCAGAATCGAATCAACCAAGCCAAGCAATGCCATGCTGACTACCACAATTGATGCCACCGCAGAATCGAATGAACCAAGCCAAGCGACGCCATGCTGACTACCACAGTTGATGCTACCAGAATTGATGCCACCGCAGAATCGAATCAACCAAGCCAAGCCATGCCATGCTGACTACCGAATCATGCTAGAACAATTGATGCCACCGCAGAATCGAATCAACCAAGCCAAGCAATGCCATGCTGACTACCACAATTCATGCTATAACAATTGATGCCACCGCAGAATCGAATCAACCAAGCCAAGCAATGCCATGCTGACACAGTAACGGCCTCCCCAGCGTCTTTTCAAACACGAGCGTGCTCTGACAGTCATGCGGACTGGAGACTTACTTTAACGCCACCCCCATTCGGCCAAGATGGGGTCACCCCGCTGAGTATGCGCCGGCAAATCAGGGCCTTGGAGTTCGTGTTTGCCTTGTTTGCCCTATGCGGCGCGGTGAAATCCAATTGCCCCCCATACAGGCTCGCAAGAGGACAGGTCATGCTCATCGTCGAGTGCACCGGAATCGCTGCGCAACGCAGCCGATTCATGAAGACCTGTCAATGAGGCACAGCATAAGATGCCATGCAGGGCCATGCCGGCAACTTGCAGCGGTGGGCGAAGTACTTCAATTCAAGACTTCGACCGTGGTGTGGGTACGTGGCATAATATTTATTAGTAAGGCCTTCTCTGCAATCTGTGTGAATTTCACCCCGCGGCGCACACACCACCTTGCTGGACAGGCGAGCAGCACACAGAATAAATCCCCAGCGCCGGCCAACGACACTGTCCCGCACGGGTCAAGGACCCATTGCTCACGTGGTCCGAGCCCGACTGGAGCGGTCTGTAAGACCACTTTGAGCTGGGGCGTGCAGGATGGGTAGGGCGAGTCGAATCAAGCCAAGCAAGCCAACCAAGACATGCGAAAAGGGACCACCGGCGAGTCGAATCAAGCCAAGCAAGCCAACCAAGACATGTAACAAGGGACCACCGGCGAGTCGAATCAAGCCAAGCAAGCCAACCAAGACATGTGACAAGGGACCACCGGCGAGTCGAATCAAGCCAAGCAAGCCAACCAAGACATGTGACAAGGGACCACCGGCGAGTCGAATCAAGCCAAGCAAGCCAAGCAAGACATGAGACATGCGAAAACCTCAAACACATCCGGCTTGGACAGAATACCATCCCTGACATTTTGGCAAATTCATGCTAGTGTGCTCCAGGATGAATGCAGCTTTTGTCGTTTTGGCCAACCCCAGGGTCCAAGCAAACGCTTTCGAGAGAGCCATGGGCCCTGCCCCCGGTACTATAATAGCTAATGAATACATAAAAAAACTGATACTAACAACAGCCTGAAACCCTACAGGAGTTCAATGTCGGTATATTGAACTCCACAATTGAGGAAATTGGTTTTGGCCTTCAAACCCCACTGATCCAGCCCCCAAGGATCCAACCCTCAAAACGAGTGTACCTATACAAATAGAATGAGGACCCCCCCCAACTAGCATAGGTACTTATTCAAGCCTCCATATTACTGTAGATGTTCTAGGCGTGGGCTTCACGGCTTTTGGGGGGCTTTGCAAGTCGGGTTTGGATTTGGGAGTTTCCCAAAAGAGGGAGACCCCAATATAGTACCCCAAATAGTTTTTGCCACCCGCCCAGCTGAAACCCCAAATAGTAGGATCATTATTGTAAGGACCCCCAAAATAAGGTCCCCCGAATTTTGATCACGGAATGCTCAAGCGGGCTTCGGGTTTCACACTTTCTGTGGGCCAACCCAGAATCTCGAAGGCATGACGAAACTGCCGTCCTTCCGAACCCTAAACCCGACTCTCCCCCAAACCCCGAAGCTTAGCCCGACCCTAAACTGGGCTAGGAAGTAACCTGGGCAAAAAACGTATAGAATTCAAGCAGACTCCGAAGCCCAGTAAACGCTGTGAGTGCTATTGAGTGCTGCCTTGCGGGGAGAGGAGGCTGGTTGATCCCAAAGCCGAAGAGGCCAACCAACCTACGTTAACACTCAAAACCCTTTTGCATCCAGGTCTATTGGGACTGCCGGGTACCCCTGGAGATAGGAAAATACCCTAAACCTCTAAAAGGAACTCCAGAAAGTTGGAATATGGATTAATGGCAGGATCCCCTATAATTTACCTTTAAGGGGTTTACGATAATCATATTCCAACTTTCTGGCTTCTACTGTAAACCCTAAACCCCGAACTCCGGATGGAGGATACGCACCGACCCCGTGGCTGCGAAGCTCAGAAGGCCCGTCACCCTCACGTCTACACCACCTCGAAGCCCTAGTCTGCTAGGTCAGGAGTCGCACATGAACACATCTGTGTACAAAGGTATGTATGTATGTATGTAACATATATCAATGTATACATGTATATATATATATATATATATATGTATGTATATTGGGTGGTGATTCTATGGAAACAAACCAGCCGATGGCATGTGCATCTCTTTCTGTATCCGGGTCTCCTTGCTGCCGGGAACTGCGCACTGCCCTGTATGTCCATACCCCTCGAACCCTCTCCCACTAAACCTCTTAGACAACTCTGCAGAGAAGCCGCACCTGACGAAGGACTCGCCGCGAGTGCAATCTAGCGGAGTAGCTCCTGCCAGGTAGACGGAGTTGTCCTTGGATGAGCAATCGGAAAAACTGGGCAACAGATATTAATTCGCGAACGCTAAGGAACATTATTACAAAGGCAGGCCGCCAAAATAACCCTACTGTTTGTGGGCCTTGGGGTTTTCAGTGTTTTCTCTCTCTCTCTCTCTCTCTCTTTCTTTCTTTCTGCTGGGCTTAGGGTCGTCAAGACCCTCAGGCCATATGTTAGTGAGTGGTTGGCATTGGGGTCTCTCTCTCTCTCTCTCTCCCTCTGCCGTTGCATCCAGTTTTCAGTGTTTAGGGATTCCATTTAGGACGGGATTTCCAAGTTTGAACTGCACAGGCAGCATGAAGGGTCAGCTTACGGGTGGACAACCAAAACTTTTCACATCCCTACCCACGCCAACTACAAACTCCTAAACCCTACCTCGCTCCGCCCAGATGCCCCAGGAACCAGCGCACAGTGTGCAGCTGTGCCCAACCGACGGAGAAGGTCCGGTCCGTCCTGTGACAGCCCTACTATAGGGGCCTTAACAAATAAAATAGGGTTCCTTTAAAAGGGTTCCTTTCAAGGGGTATATAAAGAGTTACTATAAGGGATACTATAAGGGTACTATACTGTAGGGGCCTTTATAATTAGAATAAGGCTTCGGGGCTCGTCATACTATACTGTTGATAAGGAACCCCCAAAATACGTAGTATTGGTAATTATTTCGGCCCCTATGGCAGCAGTAGTCGTCTTAGTGGTAATGGTAGTCGTGCCACTCGTGGCATATAATTCGTGGTAGTAGCAGTGGCAAGAAGCAGCAGCAGGAGGATAGGCAGTACTAGTAACTAGTACTCGGGGCGGCAGAAGTGGTCGCGAGAGGAGCGGCAATTGGCAGGTTTCGTAGTAGAGATGATTGGAGGTGGAATCACACTTAGTAAGTGACTGCTATTGACTGTAAGCAGCAGCATGATGCCTGAGCTGGTTCAGTTCAAGTTGGCGGAGAGAAGCTCTGTCATTCTTCTGCAGGCTGTGTGAGGATTACAGATGCGAAATCTGCCTCAGGATCGTGCAGGCGAACGCGTCCAAGATGACAGTTGTCAAGCATCCTAATACCTCATGACCTCAGTACGCCCCAAAAGTCCATGGTCCGAAACATCGAACATTGAACTTTATCTAAACTTTGTTACGCGCAGGTCTGTTTGATCCGCGTAGCACTGTCCGAAAGATTGTATTGCCTGTAGTGCAGCAGAGCCGTGGGATTTCGAGCCTGGGTTGAGGGGCATACCTTCTCGTCTCAGGCTCAGGTTTTTGGTCTGATTTCTTCCCTCTCGCATAGCTTGTCAGTCTATGCCCGCTCGTTTGGTCTGATTTAGGGTTCAGGGTGTAGGGAAGGTTGGGACATAAAGGAGCCATCTGGGCGGCTTACGCACAAGGCATGCTGCTTCTCAAGTTCGCAGCTCTCTAACTGGAAGGGTAAGAAGCTTTTGAGGCCAAAGATTTCTCACGGTTTAGGGTTGAGGGGTTTAGTTATACGAAACTGATTTAAATCCCTAGCCCCTCGATGCTAAAGCCACGCCCCGAAATCTATAGCAGCTCCGATTCTATCCCGCACTGCAACTCTCTGAACCCAGCAGGCTTACCCGTGAACCTTATAGGACCTCTTACAGGAGCCGCCATAGTCAAGTAACTCCCTCAACCCTTTTGAGCAGGGCCTGTGGTGCAGCAAACGATTGAACCCCAGGCTTCAAATCTCTGGGGGCTTCCTCCGGCCTTCCCAGCCAGGGCAGACATGTCCCCGGCAAGGGCAGACACGGCGATGCCCTCGGGCGTTTCCAGCTCCTCAGATAGCCACTAAACCTTAAGGGCTGGGGAAAGTCTTATGAGTCTTGCCGGAAACACAGTCGCAGCAGCAATAGGCGGCAATAGGTTGACTGCGGCCGTGGCCACGATAATTCACCGACACCCTTACTCTCACGACCTGTCGGTGCCAGGCATCACCCGCAGCGAAGCTGCCAGGAAATTTGGCCTGGCAAAAGTCAGGGCACGAATTATCTCCTATGGAAAAACCCGAGCCAGTTCCAGAATTTTACGTAGTTGCAGTTTTACAGAGCAAGTATGAAGTAGGTCGGAAAGTACTTGGGTCTTTCAATTACCTTGCCTGACGGTTCTTGTTCCTAAACACAAAGGTTACAAGGGGAGAGAAAAAAAAGAGCAGCAGAGGCTATGGAGGCTGCATGCTATTCAAGTTTTCGGGAGGTTAAACCTGTGGCTACCGAAGCTTGCACGCGCCGGTTGAGCCATCATGTTCGCATCTCTGATGTCTTCTGGAGGCACGTTAAGAAGCTCGGGAATCTTCCCGTTGTAGCTTTCTTCCCGTTGTAGCTTTAGGGTTTAGGAGCCTCGTCGGTTCGGTATAGGTTTGGTCATTAGGTGTGTGGAGTCTATGTAACGCTTTGGACTTCCCGGTGCAAGCACTTCCCGACTCCCGGTATCAGCAACTGCCCGAACTCGGTGTGCGAAGGTAAGGTTTTACCGTTGATGGTTTAGGTTGTCGGCTGCAGGTTTAGCTTCCCCCGGCTTTGTAGGAAAACCAATCCTAAACAACCGATTAGATGTATGCAATATTCCGCGCCTACAAAGCTAATCATATCAAGAGGATTCCGAAATTCTAAACCCTAAGTGCCTCCAGGCTGGCTGCCAGAAGCAGCGTCGCCTCACGGCGCTTCTCGGCCTGCCATGCATTTCCGAGCTGCTGCTGCACATTATGCTTTAGGGTTTAGAGTTTCGAAGCTACCGACCGTCTTCGGCCTTCTACTGCTTCACGACTCGATGTATTGGTGTTGAGACTTTTTCGACGTGGGGGGGGAGCGGTGCCTGAAAGTCATCGAATCACAATCTGTCCCGGCTGGCTTTCGCGCGATTGGGCCAGTATCGGATTTGGGAAAGCCTGCCTTACCTCCGTCGCGGCGTCGGCAAGCGACTTTGAGCATTCAAGGTTTCGGTCTCCCCGGGCGTGAAACCCTCCGATGTGCAGAAACCCTTTGTACCTTTAAGCAAACGAAGACCAAAGAACAACAACAGGGGGCTGTTCCCAGGTGCGGGCTCTCCGTGAAGACACGACACACCCTAAACTAGAAAGCCACGGACCCAATCCCGCTTTGGAACGGCGGATGGTTCATTCCTCATTCAGAAAGTGTATACAGTATACAGCGCGTGTATAATGTGTATATATTTATATATGTAGATGTACATGTGTGTATATGCACATAGAAGAGACAGAGAGAGAGAGAGAGAGAGATAGAGAGAGAGAGAGAGAGAGCGAGGGAGGGAGGGAGGGAGGGAGGGAGCGAAAGTACGTATGTATGTATCAACAGCTTGACTCGGGGCTACACCTATGGTGCTTTAGATGTCGAACCTTGCGAGTCATAAAAGAGCAGGACACCTGCGACGAAATAATGATGAGCTCCTTCGCAGAAGCTCGTTGGGCTTGACGCTCCTGGATAGCACTCAACTTACCTGTGGTTAGTATGGAATGGAAGAATGGTAGTAATAGTAGTTATCATTGTGCTCCATTCCTCCATTCCCTACTAACCAAAGGTAAGTCAATGACAGGAGCTTGAGGGTTTAGGGCTTGGGGTAGCATGCAATGGAAGGTGGCCTTAGAACCTGGTCGTGAACTTTTTGGGGATTTCTTGGAGCGTTGAGGGGTCTAGAATTTCAACGAAACAGGTGTCCATGATCGTTGGAGCAAATGCTGCAGGTCTAGAGCGTGCGGCAGCGTACGTTTCGAATCGAGTCAAGTCCCGCGGCCGCTTGTCCGATGATAGGCCGAAAGCTGCTGTATGTGTATCTTAAACTCAATAACGGCCTCAAGGCTACAGCCCGCAAACCGGCGAGAGCAGCAAGATCGGATTCGTTTCAACCAGCGGTCTGAACCTTGTTTCTCGTCGCTCCAGCCGCCACAACCCTTTTTGACCAGGCTTGTGTGAATCCCGCCTGGATGAGCCGCCCCTGTTCTCTGAACAAGGCCAGACACAGAAGGAAATCACTGACTTAGAACTGTTCTCGAGCTGACTTTGCCACCATGTTTGCGAATCTCGCCACGAAGTACCACACACAAACCTCAACTCTAAACCCTGAACCTAATTAAATTAGCTATAAAGCTGAACGCTGAACCCGAAACCCTCGAAGCGTTTTGCAGGCCGCGCCACCCTCTCGAGAGCCTCATCGGCTTGCAGATGCTCGCGGATGTTGAACGCCTGAGGGTTTGAAGGAAGTCAAGGCTGATGCCTACAGTTTATCTTTCCCTTATGGTTTTATGGTTCCGGTAGAATTACTTGCGAACAAGTCTAAATGAAGAAGCACAGCTGTTCATTGTAATCATGACGAAAATTCGTAACAGCAGCAATCATTGAAAGTAGGTTCGGATAATGCCTAATCCCTGCCGCGAGATGTACCACCGAAAGCTCTGGCTGCGTCCCGATCGGGCCTCCCTTGCAAAAAGGGGCGAAGGAAGACGATGGCGGTGATGATGGTGATAGCCGCAGAAGTACCACACAGAGTGCTGATAACGAAAAGTGAAGAATGGTAACCATCAGTACCCTTTTGAAACCGGACTTGATGACTGCCAGCACTGCCTCTTGCACTGCCATCACTACCCTAAACCCTAAACACTGCACGTGCTAACCTTTTCAAAAAAAAGTAAGAACCGCGCAGGAGCGAACTTCATGGTAAAGACTCAACGCATTCTCAATTCTTATATATTAATGTGCAGTACTAATGATGAGAATAGTACTCTTATTATTGTTGATATTGTTGTAAGTAGTATTACAAAACGTGGCCGTCATCACTGCATCTCACAAGCTCTAAGCCAAAGGTGACGACAAGGATGACTTCTGATCCGGTGGCATACCTTAAAAGGATTTAGGTTAACTCTGGTACAGCCCCCATGACCGCTACAGGGATTTGCCAGATGCCCAAAGCCGTAAGACAAAACCGCATAGGTTTCAGGCTACAACCCTGAAAGTCTACTACTACTACTACGACGACGACTACTACTATACGAAAGACCGGCGAGTTTTGACGTCGTAACCCCTCACATTTTGCCCTGCTATGTCGCCAGGAGGCTAGCACAGTAGTCTCGGTGCCATCGCGATTGAGGCGGACTTTCACAGTCCGACCGTCGGTCTCATCCTGACACGACAGTACAACAGGATCAGGCAATCTCAAACTAGCCGCGTCAGTTAGCCACGTCAAGGCTTACGGCGGAACAGTCTCAGAACAGGTGTAGTTTGCAGCTGCCTGTGGGAAAGGAAGGACAACACAAACTGAATTTTAAGCGCTCAATGAAACGCCATCGTAACTTGGTGAGACAAACTATCCCTGCATAACAATGTAAACGATGCCATTTGGGAGTTTCCGAAAATTGGGGGTTACCTTATTTAGGGCTCCTTATAGTAAGGATCCTACAATTTAGGGTGCCATATGAGGATCCCCTATTTTCGGAAACTCCCACTTGGGGAAACGGCAACTATGCACACCCTGGTTGGCGGGGGCTTCACGTTGTTGAAAACCAACCCTGACCCTACGAACATGTGCACCCAAAAAACCTAAGCCCAAGTCGCACGCCCACGCAAGAAACATCAAGAAACTAAAACTCTAATTCAACCCGAACCTGCAAAGCACAACAGAACGCCTGTAAAGCCTTTCGGGAAGTACGAGACCCTTATAGGACGACTGAGCCGGAGAGTTTACCTGCAAATCTTGTGGGCTTTTGCGGCTCCTCATCGTCAGAGTCTGCCGACCAGGTACAGACTTCAAGCACAGTGGCTTCCAGCCACTCTCCCTTGAACTTGCACTCCTTGGTCTTACGGTTTTCAATTGAAGGGTTGGTTCGGGGGTCTGAAATGTTTCGGCTTCCAGGCTGTAGGATGGCGTTAAAAGGCCCGGTTTCATTTTTCGGGTCCTAGAATCCTGAAATCTAGCTGCTTCGTCATTTGTGTGTGATTTCTCGGGGTACCCTTTTGCAACTGGCTTGCGACGTCACGCCAGGACAGCTGACTCGTAGATCCTAAACCATTCGAAGCACAATTCTGAGAGTATGGGGGAACTCTAGGGGCTGGACCTAAATCCCCAAACCTGAAACCCCGGACCCTGAAAAATAGGGGCCCCAATACTCAGGACAGGGTTTTGTGGTATGTTGCAAGATAATTCATGTTGAAATAAGTATGTACTAAATAGGCAAAAGGATATTACAACCCCTAACATAGGACCGGGAACGTCTGCTTGTGGGCCCAACCCACAACTTATCATGCTGGCTTTGCAGGTTTCGGCAGGCAGTTCAGTGGTGGCAGGGTTCGGCGAAGAAGGACAGGTTGCGCCTGCCTTGAGCGAGTCTAGGGGTCTACGGGCTGATAAATGTAATCAAACACCCTGAAAAATGAAAAGCAGGGACACCGGCAAACCCTGAGCTCCAAGTGTAGTGTGAATGTATTGAAATCCAGAACCCTTAGCCCTAAAACCTACAAATCTACACCTAAAAAAACCCTAAGTGAACATGCGTGAAAAGGCCCCTCCTATTTGCTTGACCCTTAATTCTGTTACCGTTGTTTCTTACTCTTATCGTTTTACAGGACATTGGATGACTTTGGGACTGTATAATGTAGCGCATCTTGCTCATCGTTAGTTTCTACTCTTATCGTTTTGCAAGGAAACTGATTGCTCTCAACTTACGGGCACATCCACTTAGAACATGCTCTCCCGGCTTTTTGTCATCCCTCAAGTCTAAGCCCAGTGAATAATCTTACTCAACGAGACTACATTGGTTTGTATTGTACTCGGCTGTACTATATCATGTTCGTTCGACTTCGTTGTACTTGACTCTACAAATGTTATATCGTGGTAAATTATCTTATCTGGATAAAAATACACATATATATATACATATATGGGAGTTTCCGAAAATTAGGGGTGCCTTTGTTGGGGGTCCTTCTAATAGGGATCCTTCTATTTAGGGTACTATACTAGGGTCCCCTATTGGCTGAAACTCCCATATAATATAATATAATATAATATAACATAATATAATATAATATAACATAATATAACATAATAATATAATAAAATATATTATAATATAATATAATATAATATAATATATAATATAATATAATATAATATAATATAATATAATATAATATAATATAATATGATATAATAATATAATATAATATGATATAATATAATATAATATTATATAATATAATATAATATAATATAATATAATATAATATAATATAATATAATATAATATAATATAATATAATATAATATAATATAATATAATATAATATAATATATATATATATATATATATGTATGTATATGTTTTTCATAGTTGTATTCCTACACATGTTTTACTATACGACTAACGGCACTACATCAGCCGGTATCCTAAGGAAAAACGGAAGCACAAATCGCAAAACCTTGTCTTTGCCCACAAAGAGTCGACCACTTGGTCCTGGGGTGGAGACGGTTTCATAGTCTTGACTGTCTTGGCAATGGAGAGGGTAACCACAACGTATACATTGTACATGCAAGCCATGTGTGAATGTATAGACGTATGCATGTGATGGACATGCACATGTACATATACATAAGTTATGTATATGCATAGACAGTTGAGTACTAGCAGTTCACCTAACTTTGCAACTCCATGTCACAACAGTCTATTTCTGCGAAGCTCGCAAACTCGCAAGACTTGTTCATGCTGTGTCATAGCTGTTGGTCTTGTGACTGGAATCTGCAGACCCGAACCGGCCATTATCCTAAACTGCACAGGATTCGGGAGTTGCAGAAAACGCGTGCTTCTGAAACTCGCATTTGATCCATACCTTCGCACTGTCCTTGATGATGTCGCGCTTCACAACGGAGGCGGGTCCAGAGGGCTTGGATAAAGTGAAGATGAATGTCTCGGTGCTGTCCTGCCAAGGCTCAAGAGGTCTATGCAACTAGTCATGTCCCCACCAAAAACCGACTCTCTTCATCAATAATCCTCAGTAGACTGGCCAAGATACTTTTCGATTGTTTTGTTGCTCCTTGCTTGGACGGTAGATTTTCTCCGACTGCAAACCTGGCCGTTTGCTGTCCTTGACAGTCCCTCTCAGGCAGAGGCCTTCATCAATGGAAGGCCGTTTTGGGGCATAATAAAATATGACTATATACAAGGACGTAGAGCATAATTCCATAAGGGGATACGAAAACCAAATGTTCGGACATCTTCTTTACCTTGCTCTGGCTGTCTCCCTCTCCCTCTCCCTCCCACTCTTCCTTTTCACTCGGCATACGGGGAGTTTGTCAGAACGGCTTCCCTTCTGTGCGCTCATCGAAGCAGCTATTTACCGTGCTCGATCATGACGATGTTGTTAACAAGTAGGGCACATGCGTCCAGCAGTCACTCCACTCGAATTGTGACAATTATCACACGACTGCTCCTGCAAAGGCGGCAGATTCACCGGACGCTTTCTGGTAGCTTAATAAATGGAAGCTCCCCCCGGATTTTGTGTCGACAGACCGGAAACAATTAGAAGTGAGCTACTGCTGCTCAATGCTTTTCATCATGTATGCACAGTCCGCAACACCCAAGACGACGATACCTGACAATCACATATGGCACATGAAAGTGTCTTGGCTTCACAAGCGGTCAGGAGGTCTGCACATTCTTTCTTCTTCCATACGCAAAACGTCAAAACCCTCGGCTTCATCCCGCGCTAAGACTGTGCTCCCAAGTCCCATCGAGCTGGAACCGACGTCAGCTCGTTTCACGAACGCGAGCAGATACAGACTTCAGCCCACTTCTCAGCTCTGACAGAATGAGCGATACCGTCGGCAGCCTCGATCGTCTGCATCCCGAAGCTCGCATTCAGACCACGTCCTTCTAATTGCAGTATGCGTAGCTCCAAGTAGCAACAGTTCCGCTGTTGGTAGTAGTAGTAGTAGTAGTCGTCGTCGTCGTCGTCGTAGTCATAGGCGTCGTCGTCGCAGTAGTTCTACTCGTAGTCGCCGCCGTCGCAGCACTAGCAGCAGCAGCAGCAGTAGTAGCAGTAGCAGCAGTAGTAGTAGCAGTAGCAGCAGTTGTAATGTAGCAATAGCAGCAGCAGATAGTAGCAGTAGCAGTAGCAGCAGCAGCAGCAGGAGCACTGGCAGTAGCAGTGGCAGCAGCCGTAGCAGTAGCAGTAGCAGTAGCGGTAGCAGTAGCAATAGCAGCAGCAGGAGGAGTAGTAGTAGCAGCAACAATAGTAGCAGTAGTAGTAGTAGTAGTAGTAGCAGCAGCAGCAAGTAGTAGTAGTAGTAGTAGTAGTAGTAGTAGTAGTAGTAGTAGTAGTAGTGCGTGGGGGATTGATCTCGACTAGGTTGCTGCTCTCCCCACCAGAGCTGTAATGAATGTAGGTGTGGCTGGCTTGCACTCTCCACAGACTGGACCCTGTCTCTCTTACACTTCCACGCGTGCAATCCTATGCAGGCAGAACCGGCGGCCGTTCCTTTTGCACTCACTGCCGGCGGCGGTTCGTCTGTGCAACGGGATAGCTCTGATTGCTCAGGATAGAAGACACTTATAGCACTTAGCTATGGGCATTGACTTGAGCCAAACGTTGCGTGGGCGGTCACATAGAAAGGTAAAGATGAGGGACGCGTAGCGTGCCCCCTTAGAGTCGAGGGACGCGTAGCGTGCCCCCTTCTCCTGCACTTTACACGGTCTTGCTCACAGCTCTTATAGTGACACCTTAGAACTTGACAAGGCATCGCAGTCCGTTCGCACCCCCCATGAGTTGCGTCTCCGACGCTGCTCACCCGGAAGATGGCACGATAGGACAACAGAAAATGTTCCGCCGCAACGTTGACATTGAAAATCAGAGCTTTGCATCCCAATTAGAAACGTTGTGACACTCATCTACGTCAGTAACGATCCCCTGAAATGGCAAACGAATCAGGCGTCACCGAAGAAAGAAGCATTCGCGATGGCATTCCATGGGCGAAGCTCAGAGGTCACGAACTGATAGGCGAGGAAGACCAAGCGTTGATTCATCTCCATCTTCGCGTGGTCGCAGGATCGCGGTCCCAGGGCCGGAGGTTTTCCTCTGGATACTGTTCCCTTTGCTTTCCTTTGTCCTTGCCTTTGTTTCGGCCTTTGCCGGCGGTGTAGTCATAGTAGGTGTTGGCGTTCCAGCCTCCATGCTGTTCACCTCCGGCTCTCTCACGCCCCTTTGAAGGTCCCTTGGCCGAAGAAGCGCTTGCACGTTCCTCCGTAGTGACAGGCGTGTCCAGGATGGAAGTACCACCTGGAGGGAGATAATCAGCGGCCGAAATGTGGTGTAGGGCTTCAGTACGCTTGGTCGTCGGGTTTTGCTGTCTCTCAGCCTTGGATCTGTTCAATCTGTCCATGAAATGCGCAGGCATTTGCACATTGTGGTCCACCAGCAATCCGATGGTCTGGACTGAATGATCGGAATGAGTCAGCAGGATACCGACGGGGTCGATGTACAAGAAGTCCACCGGTCCAGTTGGCGTTGGTCGTAGCACTGAGAATTGTTGGTGTCCCGTCACCATCGGAATCACCTCGCACAGGACGTTCAGGCAACAAAAGTGCATAGCCTTCACATCTTCATCCCTGTTGCTCTTCAAGTACGTAGTAGGGTTGAAGTTGTCCCTGCCAATTCCCATCATGTTGGCTCCCCGTGTAATCAACGAAAGCATCTGATTCGTCCGGAAGCGCTTCAAAGTGTAAGTCCCGTTGGGATCATACTGCTTGAAGTTCTCAGGTTCCTTGGCAAAGCGAATGATCTCCTCATCAGTCACATCCCTGCTCACACCAGTCTCTCTGTCCACTACAGCCAATGATCCCCATTTTCCAAGCACATCATAACGTTGGCCAAGTGCGAAGTTCTCCTTCATCTGAAACAACGGCATAGTAGCCCACTTCGCGAAGCCTGACCAAGCCTTGTAGATGGTCCTGCATACCACGAAAGCCATATACGAAAGAGCGACCATGTTGGCGTCAATGCAATGGGCATTTCGCTTCCCTGAGTAGTAGGATGGCTGCATGGCGGTACGTGCAAGTTGTAGCTCAGGATCGATGTTCAAAGACTGGCCGGTGATGAAGACGGGACGGCGTTCCTGTGCAACTGCATCTGGTACTGCGTCATCAAAGTCCTCTCCTGGCTCTATGTCCATTTCTTCATCAGGTTCCTGTTCTGGATCGTCCTCCGCGATGACAGATGGTTCTGGGATTTCCTCAGGTTCCGCAACGGTCTCTACCTCCATGGCTTCCTGCTCCTCTTCGGGCGCTTCAGGCACTGCTGCTGTTATGAGATTATTAGCAGGCTACAGCCTATGAAACTGAAAATAATTATTTTGCGGATATTTTGCAAATTTTTTGCATATTTTTTGCACGTTGGGTTTGCATATTTTTTGCATGTTTTTTTGTGTTGCAAATTTTTTGCAAATTTATTGCATTTTTTTTGCATATTTTTTGCGTTTTTTTTGCATATTTTTTGCTTGTTTTTTTTGGTTTGCATATTTTTTGCAATTTTTTTGCATATTTTTTGCATGTTTTTTGCATGCTTTTTTGCAGATGTGCTCCGCTGGTGTTCTGTTGCTGTTTTCAACCCGTCATGTTTTCTTGCGTGGTTGTGAGATTTGCTTCTCGTCTGCTTCTGATACCCTGGCCCTTTTTCGTTGCTTTGTGGATTGAACAGTTCTGTGAGCACCCCAATTCCTTCGAACCAGCACCCGGTTTGGCCCTCCACAATCAGTGCCGGCTGATTTGGTCGGTCCAATCCCACTCATGTTGCTTTACTATGAATTATGTTGGATTTGCAGTCTCGAAAGTGGGTTTCTCATAATTGTTGGACTTTTGGAGTCTGGGACCACGCAAGAGGGCACGAGGCGTTGCAGTCTGCTGTTGTGGCCACCATTTATTTATTGAAAGTAGAGGGCATAGTTTGGCTGTGTTGTGGGGTGTAAACCGTAAACGCATCCAAATGACACACACGGTTTGTGATGTTCTTGCGCAATTGACTGCATCTGTGTGTGTGTGTTGTGACAATGTCAAGGAGTCCTTGCCTTGTGTATGTCTATGTCTATGTCTATGTGGTGAAATCACAGAACACACGGAAAATTGCTCGTAGTTCATATCCTCCTTGGCTTGCGACTTGTGAATACGTTGTGAGACCACAGAAGATTCACAACATAGGCATGCAAGTTGTTGCTGGTTTTGTCCTGCCGTTTGTGCATGTTGTCCACTGACACAAGCCAAATGGGTGCGACTTGTTGGGGCTGTTAGGGTGTCAACGTATATTGTCGGATCAAAGAAGATACAAAGACGGCCGGCGTCTGGAGTCTGGAGTCGGCACAGTCGCTTTATTATTGTTATTTCGTTCAAGGATTGCGGGGCAAACGTCCAGGACCCAGGAGTCCAGGCTCTGTCTTGCAGCGAAGCGAAGCCAAACCAAATCCAGCCCCATATCAAATGATCGAAGTTTCGTTTCCAAATACAAAACAAAACAACAAAACCAATAACAGTAAAAGAAATTACCAGCTATGCCAGCCAAACCAAAACGACTTCAAACATACCTACATTGACCTACACGACCTACATCGTTCGCGTGAGGTTAACAGTTAACAGTTAACAGTTAATGAGGTCAGGCCACTGGTACCGCTGCTGGTTTTCGCGCAATGCGGTTGGCAGCTTACCCGCAATCCAATCCACTCTCAGCTGAGGCATAAGGCATAAGGTCTCGGCTGCGCAACCGGCTGGTCACCAACTCTTCTCAGGCGCAGTGCAGCGCAGAAGTAAGTAAAGGTATCTCCAATCTACAAGTAACTATATAACCACAGAGCACACCGGCTGCCGGCCTTTCCTCACTCGGCGGTTTGCGGCTTGCCGCCGATGAGGTCACTGAAAAAGCCTGCACCGGAAGCTGTGCAGCTTGACTGCATCAAGCAGCACAGCTTCCGGTGCAGGCTAGTTTAGTGAACCACTGAATTATCTTCCTGCGTCCACTGCTACGTCCTGCGAGAGCCCAGACTAGACTCGACTCGACTCCAGACTCTCGATTCTAGATGTTGTTCAGCCGGGCCAACCCTACCCAGCCTACAAAAACGCCCCAATCACAATGCAATTACTTAAAAACAACCTATCTAAACACATAATATTCTGCACTGTGTCCGAGTCCTGTTTGCCCGGCCTAGTGACTTAGTGACTTAAGACTTAAGGCCTTAGGGCCTTAGGCCGAGTGCTCAATGGCGGCTTAGCGACCAGCGACTGAGTCGAGTGGCTCTCGCAT